GTCAATTTTATTCAATTTCAAGTATTGTTTAGAGTTGTGCGTTCAACATATTCGAGAAGTCAATAGCTATAATAAATCTGCAGATTTTGCTCGCATTTATGTAAGCTTTTCTCTTTTGACGGATACTTTGTATCTTTCCTTGAAATCATGACAGGTGTAACTGATCTACTGAAATCAACTTCAAGTGCTTACTACTATCTCCCAATGTGAGCTACATCAGTGCTTTTTGTTGAGAAAATATGTAAGTTATTAGCCGCTTTTTTGCCGATCAGGATTTAAATTCTCTTTATCTGTCATGTACCTAGCAAGATTCAGAGATTTTGACTTGTACGTCATGTCTTTCCGTCAAAACTTCCATTTTTGGTTTCTTGGTAAAGAGTAGCTTCTCAATGTATAATGAGAATTTGCTGTTCGGCACAGAAGCACCTTTTAATTTTTTTCGATTTTCGCAAGGAGGACACTAACACAATTTTGAAGCGGTTGATAGGGGGCTCTAAAGGCTGTTCTAACATATCAGTCACAGCCTCTGAAAGAGCTAGATCTAAGGCTCTAGCTTTAGGCTAGTCTAAGTCCTATAGATCTAGTAGTCTAGGCCTAGAGTCATAGCCCAGGCATAGGCCCGTAAAAATGTAAAGAAATAAAGCTTACAGCATGTTCTATTTAAGTGAATTTGACTCATGTTATACATGTTCCGGGCCTATGCCTAGTATAGTCCCGCAGGACGAAGAAGATAGAATGTCAAATTGAAAATCAAAATAATCGAACGAAAAAAAATTGAAAAAGTTGAAAATTCGATTTCGATTCAATTTGATTTTCTGCCATTATAAATGAAATACTGTACTTACCAACATGTTTTTCGGATATATATGTTGTTCTTACTTTATCTTCGCCGAAGATCGATGTTTATTTATATATAACAATCGAATAATCGACATAATTCAAACTCATCACTACGACACAAAAATATATCACTTTCGAAACCATGTAAACTGCTAAGATGACGTCATTTATATCCGGGATTGCTTTGCAAACTCCACACAACAGACTGTCCCATCTTTTCTCCTGCTTTCTCCCGATGCAATTCATACATTACTCGGAGATTACTGTCAAACGTTCCAAGTTTTACAATTTTAGCATGTTTATTACGATCTAATTCCTGCCAGTATCAATGAATAAATCTATTGACCAACAGATTGGAAATATGTATTCCAGCGATACCCTCATTTTGACGAAAGAATGGTACAAATATGTCCACTATTTATCGAGATATCGTGTAGAAAAATTGAAGAAAGACATCGCTTAAGAAATTTCTATTTCTAGACTGAACTGTTCACGCTCGCAAGTGGCATCTCCAACTCCATATATGGGCAAAAAGGTGGAGTTAACAATAAGCAATGCAGGGATTGACACGATTGACACGAAGAAGTCTCGATGAATCTCGCTTAAACTCCGCCCCTTCTTCGTGAAAAATCACGTGAATTCCAGCTTTTGCTGAGACATATCCGGGCATCTCGGCTTCGAACTTCAGAAGTTTCAATTTTGACTGGCGCCGCATACATTATCTCAAGTCTCACCCAATATTTTTATGTATACGTTAAACATATCATATTATATACCAGTGGATGGGGAATTTAATCATCTTTAATTTAGTATATCTTAAATTCAAAGTTGTAATGATCTGAACATGAGATAAGGGATATTACTCATTGTAGGTAGGACACATTGATTTATCACCTCAATACCTGCCCCCCTCCGATAACCCAATCCCAACGCCTGCGACTATAGCTACCACGTGTGGGGAGAACTAATAGAGTCTGTGTACCATGAACCCCTTAAATCTATTCAGGACAAAATTGTTGAGAAGTGGAATTCATTATTTCAAAAGCATATCAATGATGCTATCAACCTGCTTATTCCAAGATTGGGGGCTATAAATGATGGACATTTTAAACATCTGTTTATGTTGACGTTTTTAAATAACCGTTTCGAAACGAAAATGACGTCATTTGTATTATGGACGCTGGTTGACATATATTATAATAAATTTGAACTTATGATATACAGATGTACTAAAGATAATTAAATACCCTATCCATTGGTATATAACATGATATGTTTTCATCAATAAAATCAATGTTAATCGTTAAAATACGAGTGTCCCATTTTTTGGACCACCCTGTACATATGCAACGACATTTGTGTCGTCAACGGTACTTGACAAGTTTGAAACTTAATGTAACTTTATTCTGCGGGAAAGGGTGGCCCTCATCAAGGGACGAACATGGGCCGACCAGGGGACTACCCCTAATCAATTATATTATGAAGTAATTATTCTGAGTGTACCTTGGGGAAGGTACAATTAATAACCAATTGCATTTTTGTTAATTTTGTTGATTTCCCGATTGGTAGTTGCAACGTCAACGTGGCAGCCTGACGTTTTTGAAACAAAACATAATATCTCTTGAGCAGCCTATATATTCTTGTTTTACTCGTATGTTTGTAATTGTATTTATGTTATTTAACTATACACACTAATTAAGAATTTCACTATTTGGTTTTAATTTACATAAATCGTACATTTCTATTACTAGTTTGTATATCCCCCTATCACACCAAACTAGTTCTTACCCGTTCTTGCCAGTCCTACGAAAATGTCGTAAAACGGGCTCAATCTGGCTGCGGACGGGATATATGTCTAAAATAATTAGCCACTTCGTTCATAAACAGTCTTCAATACGTCCATCTCATTCGTAGTTCGTTCAGGTCGCACCACGTCGGTGTGCAACGTAGTATAAACCGTCCCTTAGTCTAGAAGGTCATCATGACCTGCTTACAGAACGGTATGGTCGCCATCGAATTTTGAATCGATTCAAAATTCTAAACCACATACCCCGTCCGGGAAAGTCCATGAACTTCGTAAACAGACCGTAGAACGTTGTAGCTACGTTCATTCAGTTCGCACACAGTTTAATTAAAACCGATTCGGCAACGTTTTGACGACCACCAGAAAATTTTGAGCATGCTCTAAGTGCTGGAGTACCTACTCGTTCTAGTAGTTTCATGAAGTTTGTAAACAGATCCCAAATGGTTCTGAGTGGGTTCTTAGTACGTCAAATCCGTTCGTGCACAGTTTGAGCCCGTTTTCGAGAACGTAGTGAGAACTAGTTTGGTGTGATAGTAGGGTTAGATATTGAATGCATCTCATACTTTCATACACCACTGTTGTACCGACCTTGGGGAAGGTACGATGATACGCTATGTTTCTTTTTAATTTTAGAGACAGTTCCATAATGTTTTTAATCATTTTTTGATAATCTCAAGTTAGGTAAGTGGCCTATCCGGGTAGGCGGCGTTCGTCTACGCGGTAGCTAGGCGTCGTCGTCAGTATAAAAACAATGAGTGTTTGTAAATAGTGATTTTTTCCAATTGTGTTATAATTAGGTTCAAGGCCTATCTAGGACGGCGGCGTGCGTCTTCGCGGTATCTAGGCGTCGTCATCAGTCAAAAACCAATGAATGTTTGATTGTAAATAGTGATTTTTCCAATTTTACATTTACATAAAATGTATACATGTATCTCCCTTATATAAAGGACAATAAATATTTACATACATGAATACAATATGGCGCCTCCAAACGAGTTTACTTGATCAGTCTATTTTTAAGAAATTAGGAGAGTTGCATTGGTAAACTCCAATTTATTGAAATCGCGGATGAGGATTAGACGATCAAAACAAACAAAAATGTACGAGTGAGGATTTGTACTCCATTATTGATACATAAACAGGCAAACGCCTTTACACATTGACCTTAACCTGTGTACCCTTCAGTATTTTTCCGAGATCACGCCTTTTGTACTAAACGATGAGCAACACCAACAAGAGTGCTCAATCAATTTGTTAAATGTTATGCATTACCCTTAAAACCAAAAGCATGTGTAACATTAAATGGAATCTGTTGTCAAAGGAACTTAGTTGAAGCAATACCGGTAAAGAAAATATAGCTACCGGTACTTTTCCTTCAAAGTACTGGAAAAACATCATGTATTGCATTGCCTTTCGCAGGAAACTTTAAACATGAAGTTAAAAGGCTGCAATTTCCATTGCCATACAAAAACAATACACATAATACATAGAGTGAAAATAATCTATTCAATAATATGCATAATACAGTAAAAGTGATGTTTGAATACGAAGAGTACTTTTATTTTTAAAAGCAATGCACGATTAACTACCATGGCCATGTGCGGATTATCATATTATGGTTTTAGTTACTTATACAATATACATCATATTTTTGCAATATCCATCGGATATACATGTACATATAAATGTATATGCAGGCATTGGACTATGATTCTTCAAAATTCAGTTAAAACAATCGTGGACAGGGATATGGCAGATTCGTCTCTTTAAAGGGTACCAAAGGCAAAGAAGACAAGACGAGTGTAACGTTTTAAATGATTAACACTTTACAATATGCTATGTTTTGTTCACAACCACAGGTCCTCCAGTGGGGAATATGGGGGAGGGGGAGTGTACCTAAACGCATAAAAAGGTGAGTAAAATATTAGCAATGGTGGGCCGGGGAGAATAGGAATTCTACAAAATTGCCAAAAAGTATTCTACCACCATTAATTTCCGGCCGTGTATAGTTTGCTCCCTAAACACCAGTGCTCAAATTGAAGCAAAAATAATGTAATTTGGTGGACTGTTATTCCCCACTGAAGGACCTATGTTCACATTCCTTTGTCGTGCCCATTTTTACAAAGTTCTGTTTTGATTGATACAAATATGCTTCGACTTTCGAGGTGAATTGGCAATAATTCTTAAATGGTATGTCTCCTCTTTTAAAAAGGTACGTCCTGTCCACAAAGACACATCTGGGCCTATTTCAGTTGTATAATGAATATTCACCTTTTACATTCTCTCCCCTTTAGACACAACTCATGAATTACAACGGGGAGAAATCAATGTATTCGAGAATGTCAATGGGAATTATTTAACACCTGGAATAACCAGAATCAGAATAACAATCGTCGATAGATGTCAGTGAGATCGGTTCTCTGTCATCGTAGAGTGTAGGAGCCTGAAGAATAATCCCGAATGTTCCAACGATACAAGCAGTTGTAAAAATCCAAAGAAAAAGTCTGTCTAGCACTAAAGCCACATACTTCCAGTCCTCCATAATCTAGAAATTGAAATGATTGATTTTAAATATGAAGTAGTTCACTGAGAAACTGGCAATAGTTGTACACATAGTTTTTTATGCTACGTTGACTTTTTATTCAAATTTATTCAAGGCCAACATTTCTTGTTGCGAGTCGTGGAACTTGGTCAGTAGTCTACATGGTTATCGAATGGTAGCCGGCTGAGAAAAAATTAATACAATTCCCTATTTCTGCGATTAAAAATGAAAATATCATCCGTTTTCTCCAAAGACTTAAAATCTTTAAAATTAACAAACAATTGTTTTCATATCGAATATGAACTATGTTTCTAATCGCACATGTACGTGTTAACGTCCATACTTACCTGGTCATTTTCATCTTCTTCTTTTAAATGCGTAGCGATATAGTTCACTCCCTCTATAGCTTTGTTGATCGCAGGGTCTGGGTGTCGTAGACGCAGGCCCGGCATGGCATTCATTTCCGCTTCTAAAGCATCCATCTCGTCATGTCTGTTTGCAAAAGTATAATTGCCACGTCTTCGCTCGGTCAACGTGTCTCTAATCTCAATACCATTACATGTGCGCACCATCACTTTCGGGACTTTGTCTTTATCAGGTTTTGGCCTGCGCATGATCATCAGGCGTGGAAGGATATTTAGGAACACCTTTCTCACCCATGGTGACATAACATGTGTTGATGGTGATCGGAAATGTACATTGAGTACCACCACAGTCACTATGATGCTGAGGGTGACTAGAATCATAGTGAAGAGTAAGTACTTGCCGATCAGTGGCACCACTAGAGATGTCGGCGGAATGATCTCGGCAAGCAGCAAGAAGAACACAGTCAATGAGAGAAGGATGGAGATACATAAAGTAATCTTCTCACCACTATTAGAAGGCAGATAGAATACCAATACAGTGAGGAAGGAAATAGCTACACAGGGGATAATGAGATTTACAGTATAGAATAAAGTTTTGCGACGCATTTCAATGGTGAATGTGATGTCCGGGTAGGGCTCAACACAACACGGATAAAACTTCTCATTTCTTCTCGCAGGGGCGGAAAGTAAATCCCATTCTACACTACGATAGTAGTCCCTGAGATCAACTCCCCGCTCAATCAGAGCATTATCCTTTCCCTTGTTCTTCAGTCTTTGGCCGACATGTATCAAGTCTACCTGGTACGCATCATACGTCCACGAGCTAAATTTCATCCTGCATACTTGCTCGTCAAATGGGAAAAATTCTACGTTAATCTCGCAGGAGCTTTTGTAGATGGCGGGTGGTTCCCACTTTACACGTCCTTTGGAATATAGAGTTGCTTTTGTCATAAGTGTCACCTCATAATTTCCATCAGCACTGAAAGAATACGTACCAAGTGGAATATATCATCAATGAAAAGTACCTCAATTATTACGAAGACAACATATATAAGTTGTCAACATTGCGCATTGTACTTCATATCAGATAATGGATACTTCATTCTCAATTCCCCAATGGTTCAAGGAAGAATTACCCATATCTCTTATTGCAATGGAAGTCGTTCTGTTCAAATTACTTCTGTTTCGTATACTTCTTCATACTTTAAACTGCCTTGTCAAAGTTAGATTTTTATAGGGGACGGTCAGGGAGGACAAAGTACGATTTTGCACTTTTGCATCTTTGTGTCACTTTGAAACAGAGCACATGGTGAACAATATCGTACCTAAAACAAAGCAATGTCGTGGGCTTGTTGACCCAGAAAGCAAGATGGCCCGTCGCCCGCACACCCACCCGACAATATCGTACCTTTTTAGGTACGATAAAATCAACCATGTGCCAAAATAAAATTAGAATGGAATTATCGCTAAATGATTCCAGAAATAAAGAAACGGGAGAATTTTCAATAGGCCTATTGAGTTTTAAAGGGCAGGCATTCTTTTTTTACATTTGTATACATGATTGTATTCCAACATGCATCAACACAGCATTTGCATAAAAGATGAGTTTAGATGAGTAAATACAAAACCTGCATGATGATTCAATTCGTCAAGGTTATATCGATAAACACTAATTTATAGAAATTGGGTTAGATAATCAACACATGCGCACCATTTAGCATCACCATGGGCCTAATCTAAGACAAATGACAGTTCAATCTTACTAAAACGACGTTAATGAATCTTGAAGGCATATAATTGCATTCACCAACTAGGCATAAGATTTAATATGCTGCAATACAATCAGTGAAAAACAATATAATAACAAGTTCTTATGTGACGAGCCTCTTCCAAGTTTGATTAGATGGATCCATGGGTAGCAATTCTTACTTGGAGCATTAATCGTTTCAAATGTAATAGATATTACATTAATATACCTTATGCAGTCTTATCCTACACTTAGTGTACTATATGTATAATAACATTAAAAAATAAATTTGATATTTATTGGCAAAATGAATATCCGGAGGATATCGTAACGATATACTCCGGGCGGAGGATATCGTGACGATATACTCCGGAAAACCCAATATGCGGAGGATATTGTGACGATATACTCCGCTTGTTGATTTCCCGCCAAATTGACTCTATTTGGCATTGAATTCATTTTGCAATGATATTATACATTTAGTACACTCCTTGTAAGTGTAGGATAATAAGAACATCCTATGATTTTTTTCAGAATATCATTTTAATCTACTCGGTGATATTGATATATGCACTCGTTCGCTTCGCTCTCTCGTGCAGATATCAATATCACCTCGTAGATAAAAATGATATTCCTCAAAATCATAGGATATCCTATAAATATTATATCTTAATAGGCATGCATATGCAATCTGAATACTTACTTAATGTATCGCATGAAACCCTGCCAGCAATATTATCTACTCAGTGTATGTCAGACAATAATTTATTAACTAGATTAGAATTAGATTACAACAGAAATTGTTCCTAAATAGTGTCTACAACCACAAGATCTGGTAGCATTTAGCAATCCACATATAATCGGAATACTTACTTAATATTGTATAGCATTTTATCCCATACTTGGACGTGTTACAGGTACATAAAGCCGGTTTGTAAAAACTTATTTTCATCAGCGGGCAGATATAGCTATACATCCCGCTCTGAGCGGGCAGATATAGTATATCTGCCCGCTACGTCATAATCGCCGCTCGCATATTTGTTCATAATTTGAAAGGTTCGCGTAATGACTGTAAACGACAATGGAGAAAACACAGACAATCGGGATCTGTTTGATGTTTTAAAAAAGGGAAGGAGCATCCACTTAACCAAAAATTCGAGAAAATAAATGTGGGAATATTTGAGAGAACAGGAAAATCCGCACACGGCCAAGAAAACAAAACTGGACATGAATATTCTAAAATTCCACGATTGAACAATGTGAACCAGATGACCAAGATTAGTATGGGATAAACATATTATCCTATAGTCGGTTCAGGATATTGGGATTATCCCTTGGCCAATATAATATATTTTCCCTCGGGACCTGCGGCCCTCGGGCAGATATATTATATTTGCCTCGGGATAATAACAATATCCTGAACCTCATATAGGATAATCTCTATATCTGTAGTCATATTTCTGTAGGGGTTTATATAAACTGAATACTTACTTATTGTACAACACAATATCTGGCAGCCATATTTCTGTCGATGGAACATACAATCTGTCAACTCCACCATATTCTTTTGGATCCCAGTGTAGTTTATAGTCATCCCACTCCTAGAATTATGAATACCATATACGTGTTAATGTAAAACTATATACATTCCAAAGTCAGTCAGTGTAGCTTGTCAAGACCTTGTCTTTTAGAATTTAAGTAACAGAAATCGAGTCTACGAGCTCGTCATGCTTCATCGCTGAATTGTACTTGAACTTGATCCTTTTTGTAAGCTTTAAGGAGGTTAAACTGTACCTTTTTGAAAGAACATTTACGTGAATGTGTAGAATTATGATTCTCTATGTATTACTGCTCCACTTTTTGTTTACTTGCCCGATTTGAAAAAGGAAAAACATTTTCTAAAGGCCACTGGAAAAACTAATGGAGAGGTGGACAGTGATCTCCGGGGTCATAATATTACACGTTCGCGTACGAGTTAACTGTCTTAAAACGCGTAGCATAACCTCCCCAATTTTAAATTGAAAAAATAACGTCCCGAAAAAAGAAGTTAATCAATAAATATCTCTTCATTATTTAATGTAAATTAATATTATTGTTTATGGGACAAAACATGAACTTTAACTCATTTTGTCTTATTTGGATGTTTTACATGAAAGATTGCATAAAGTAAAAATAACTTAGAGCTGTACCTGTGTAAGCCAAACATTAGTTGTCATAATCTGATTCTTCTCGTCCTACAATACAAAACATTTTCTTTATTTTTTTATAAAAGTAGAACTTATATAGAGGTGGATATATCTCCATAGCTACATGTACGGAGGAAAAGTGGCGAGCAAAACTTAAGTACATTGTCTCAAAACTGATGCATGATCCAACAGAGGTTTCACGATTCTAAGAGGCAGAAACATATGCTAATTACTTCTAGTTGATAGTAATAAAAACAAATGGACGATTAATCTTATTTTACACTCAGACAAGTGTACCCATTCTGATAATCATAGCATTCCTCTCACTTGCATTCAAAAGGAAAGAAGAAACTGCGTATCGTGCAAATATGCTATTCCCGAAAATAAGGGCGTCTGCTTTATGCTATGTGTAGAATCGCCTGTGTTTGTTACACTAAATGAAATGTCGTAACTAAACTACTTCGAAGTAAGAGACAATTGTAAAACCAGATTCCAATTCCCATTAGTATGCATAAATCACTTAACTCAAATGATTTCATTTGCGTTGTCTTAATTTAATCAGTTGACAAAACTCTTTAAACTGTCTCCGAGGAAATGTTTGTTTGTCTGCGTAATGAAAAAATATTCTCAATTGATTAAATAAAGCAAGTGTACAAATCGGACAGGGTTCTTAAAGATAATCCTAGATTGACAAAGCAACGGTCCGGGAATGGTTTAGATGTGGTACATTGAGGAGGATTTAGTTAATAAGAAGCAGGTTATCAGCGATCTCAACTGATTCCCCAAGTGACCACTATATCAATTTCATGAAATAGCGCGTCATTTCAGTGATTTTACACCGAAAGTATGTAATATACGTTTGATTCATTGGAATACTCCAATTAGTGGAGGCCAAAAAACGAATCAATCAAAGCTTTGTTATTGATCTTTTATTTGCATTGACAGTAAAATATTGGCTCCTTCGGGTCACTGTCACGGGTTCGTTTTTTAATTGGCAAAAACTGAGATCGATTTGACATTGTTATAACAACTTATTCGGGAGTTGAATATTTGGTTTAGTTGAAATAATATCCCGATATTTTTGCTCGGTCTTTTTTCTTAATTCGATTATTACTGATACGCGCTCGGTTGTTTAACACTTCATGGTATATTGGTAACATGTTCAGGCACACGTACATCATCGACATTTATGCCATATTGTCCAATCGCTCCAAGTAAATCAAAATCATAGCGATCTCGTACATCAGTCTCTTACATCAGACGAAGTGACTTCCTTCAATGTATTGCATAGTATTGTATATTTACAATGGGATCGGATACGCTAGGACCATTTCTTAAAGTTAGATGCTATTAATTGCTATACACTTCCTCAGCGACGTTGATACCTGTTATTATTTGTTTTGTAAGTCTTTCATCAATCGCCTATTTCGTATCTACCTTATTTATTGGGGGGGGGGTGTATAGAGGGTCTTGGAAATGCATATACAATATTTTTCAGCTCTCTTATACCATATACAATATTTTTTCACCCCTTTTATACCATATACAATATTTTTCACAGCTCTTATACCATATACGATATTTTAGGTGAAATACAATATACGATAATTTTGAAACTGCTTTTGATTAAAGTTTGGATATTTATAAGGAAATAATATTAGGAGAGAATCCATGTACTAAAGTAAATGTATTATTATAAGGGAAATAAACTCCACATACATACCACAATGATTTCATTTATTACATTATGAATAAGACACCATTCGGGTACATCCGCATGTTCAGAAAAGCTGTGACCACATTTTATTTTCAGGTAAACAAGTTGATTTAAAACACATTTATGATATAAGATTCATGACTTATCTTTAGTGATTTCACAACCTACTTTGACCAAAAAACTAACTTTAACATTTCTGCAATTTGCTAAAGCCATTAGCCCATTACCTGTAAAAGTACCATAAAGATATTCAAAATTAGCACAAAACCTGCATCATTAGAATGGGTGGAACTCAATGTTCCTCTTTCTTATGACCTACTTTCCCATGACATATTTTAATGTCAATGGAATCATTCATAGTGAGCCAGGGAAAAAAATCCTTGAAACATAATTGATGCAAAATTGAGAATGTGGAATAAAAGATTCATCATGTGTTCTATGAAAATAAAGTTTGCTGAGGAAAATATGTATCAGATAGGTAATGAAGATTCACAATGCACAATAATTTTGTAAAGCAGTTACCTGAAAATATTAAGTATTGAAAACAGTTTCAGAAATAAAGGACTTCACAAACTTCCATGTAGATAATTCATTTTTGATTGGACTCGAGTCTGGAAATTAGAGTTTGAAATAAAGGCAAGACGAGACTTGATTGTTTAAACATTTGAAACAAGAGACACTTCGGGGTTTCAGACAAGGCAGCCTTAAAGACAGTATAAGTTAAATAAAGGTGTGTCAAAATAAAGCAAATTTCCATAAAGTTCAAACCACATGTTTCACGAATGATTTCAAGGCAAAGATGTATTGATGAGAATGAAAACTACTCTATGCAACTAGAAATAACTTTCTTTTAAAGGACCACAGACGGTATCGCAACAGATTTCAGTCATATATTGGATTTTGGCTATTTTCTGAGGATTTGAACAGGTGCATATGTTAGGCCAATGCATTAACTCCAGGACAAGCAATCATAGAGATTATAAAATAATTTGGACTTTAAGTCAGGGAAGGTGCAAATTTGCACCCCATCAACATGTTTTTTCTGTAATGTTGTCCTGATTTCCAGCCCTTTCCACACCTGTTTTTCAATGTTTGTTGCATCGATCACTCTGTTGCGTTTTAAATGAAAATATGATTCATGCAGGGGTTTTAAAGATATCAAATTTGAATGACCAAAATTTAGCTGAAAACAATGGATCACATGAGTTTTCCCTATGGGAAATACATGTACAGTTTTCCACTTTATCCCAAATAAATCATATTTTAGAGGTTAACTGTGTCTCAAAACTGTGTCTCAAAGTGCAACATATTGGTGCATCAAACATTGAAAAAACATATGTGGAAAGGGCTAAAAATCAGAACAAAATTTCAGAAAAACCTTCCCTGTCTCAAAGTCCAAATTATCATCAATTTTACAATCAAATTGCTTGATCTGGAGTTAATGCATTGGCCTAACATATGCACCTGTTCAAATCCCCAATAAATAGCCGAAATCCAACATATGACAGTTTGAAGACCAAATAAAAACCCTTTGCTATATAATGCTATATTAGCATTGTGATGCTTGTATTAAAACATGCGCTGTATGAACACTTTATTCTCAAATATTTTAATGATTTATCCCACATACCCCGAAACATGAGTAGCCATACTGACCATATTTTTCATCAAAGTTAAGATGAGTCAACGTCGCCAACGTGCAAATGCCAATGTTTTTGCTATAAATCAAGCAACAATGGTCTGTACGACCTGTAATAATCACAAAATTCTTTGCCGGTTTTTTTAAATAATTTTCCAAATGATAGATAAAAAATAATCGAATAATTGAACGGAGGAGGGGGGAGTGAACGGAGGGGGGTGGAGTAATATGTCTTTAAGGTGGAAGAAATTTCCACAAATTCGTGTACTTGAAAAATGAACTCACTTACTCAGTAACTTGATGTTACAACTCTGAAAAGTGAAAAATGGGGACATATGGAGTAAATGGAAGTTTTCATATGTCTTCATACTCCCCCCTCCGTTCAATTTTAATAACGTTAGATTACTTTTTATATAACGTATGGTAACATGTTTTACAAAACCAATGATGACAATAGTTTTGTGATAATTACTTCACTTACAAGTATTTATTACAGGTCGTGTAGACCCCTGTTGGTTGATTTATAGCAAAAAATTGGCATTTGCACATTGTCGACCCTGCACTTTTTTAATAGATCTTTTATTTTAAAACTCCACAGTTCAAAAAAATCCAAGAAGACCTAACATATTCCCCCGTCCACTGCGTCTATTCATTTAGCCATTCAATTGTAAACTTTCTCTTGAAAAAATAAATCTTCAAGATTTGTTGAATTTTCTACCAAAAATCAGCTAGATCTAGCCCCCCTCCGTTCATTTCTTCTGATCATCCGGCGTGATTCTTATTTGAGACTATATTTAACACCTCCTGTGAAAATTTGAATGAAAAGGGCACAAAACTCTTAGTTTGAGAAGGATTTTTTCTAAAGTTACAGTATGGGTTTGTGTAAAAAACCGGGTAACCGGGTACCCGGTCGACCGGGTACCTAACGTTCCTAGCAGGGTTACCAACTTTCAAAGTTCCTAATTTCCCCCGATATATAGTAGCGAATTGACTTGACAGACTTAGCCTACCGAGTGCACTGCTGTTCGATACTTAAACCCTATACGAGACAGAACACTTTTTAAAATAATCGATCCAGCAAACAGTGACGTCCATGTCACGTTGCTCATAAGTAGCATATAAGTTCCTAGAAGACGTTGCACATTTTCGTTCTTTGCACATCGAGGCAACGTAAACATGTGACGTAACTCAAACGTTAAAATTCAACGTTGTCAAAACAGGCTTTTAATATCAAAATATTTGTTGGTGGAAAAAAACATGACAAAAACTTTGTGTTCTCACTAAGTCGGTTCATTTCCGACGTATTGTTAACGTTAAAATTTAACGTTGTCGAAACATTTTTTTTCGATTTGAAATTACCTCAAAATGTGACGTCAATAATGACGTTCATGGACCGTATTGATCTGACGTTATTTAAATATTCAGCAAAACATCGATGGATGGTTGAATTTCAACATTGTGGAAATGGCTTCAAAATATTTGTGAGTTAAGGAAACGTTACAAAGACGTCAATATGTTTTCACTAAATCGGTTCATTACCGACGTTATTTTAACGTTAAAAGTTAACGTTGTCAAAACATTCTTACGATGTGAAATAACCTCAAAACGTGACGTCGAAAATAACGTACATGTATCGTCCAGATCCATTGTTATAAATAAAAAAAATCCTAACCCTGCTGCTAGGAACGTTAAGTACCCGGTCACCCGGTAACCCGGAACTTTGAAAGTTGGTAACCCTGCTAGGAACGTTAGGTACCCGGTCGACTTGGTACCCGGTTACTCGGTCACCCGGTTTTTTACACAAACCCTTACAGTATTGATTGACCTGGAATGTGGAACCAATTAGAGAGACTACTTTTCCATGTTTTTCCAACACGGTTACAGTAAGAGAGTTGGCACAATGGGGAACTTTAGGGTACAGTTTCTTCATAATTAGCCTTTTTTAATTCTAGATACCATATACCATATATTTTCTATTATACCATATACCATATTTTTTACAGCTCTTATACCATATACGATAAATTTTGCCCCCTATTATACAATATACAAATTTTTCAGCCTCTTATACGATATACAATATCTCTATACACCCCCCCCCCTTTATTACACACTATGTATGAGGAAAATGTTGAACCAAGACCATTACTACAATTCATCATGTGGTATTGTACTACATGTATATCAGTGTCGATCATTGAATCATGTCCTATAGTACTACAGTAAATATAAAATACCACAGAATGATGTATTTCTGTATCAATGCCCATCAATGACCATGGAATGATGTCTTACTTTATCAATGACCGTGGAATGATGTCTTACTTTATCAATGACCATGGAATGATGTCTCACTTTATCAATGACCATGGAATGATGTCTTACTTTATCAATGACCATGGAATGATGTCTTACTTTATCAATGACCATGGAATGATGTCTTACTTTATCAATGACCATGGAATGATGTCTTACTTTATAAATGACCGTGGAATGATGTCTTACTTTATCAATGACCGTGGAATGATGTCTTACTTTATCAATGACCGTGGAATGATGTCTTACTTTATCAATGACCATGGAATGATGTCTTACTTTATCAATGACCGTGGAATGATGTCTTACTTTATCAATGACCATGGAATGATGTCTTACTTTATCAATGACCATGGAATGATGTCTTACTTTATCAATGACCATGGAATGATGTCTTACTTTATCAATGACCATGGAATGATGTCTTACTTTATCAATGACCATGGAATGATGTCTTACTTTATCAATGACCGTGGAATGATGTCTTACTTTATCAATGACCATGGAATGATGTCTTACTTTATCAATGACCGTGGAATGATGTCTTACTTTATCAATGACCGTGGAATGATGTCTTACTTTATCAATGACCGTGGAATGATGTCTTACTTTATCAATGACCGTGGAATGATGTCTTACTTTACCAATGACCATGGAATGATGTCTTACTTTATCAATGACCATGGAATGCTGTCTTACTTTATCAATGACCATGGAATGATGTCTTACTTTACAAATGGCAACGCATCATGTTTCAATGAGCACATTGTGTGAATGAGCACAAAATTGAATGATGTCGCATCATCTCAAATAGCACAGAATGATATCTTACTATGTCAATGACTTGTGACAGCCTCAGACCTAGTTCCACTGTCAACGTGTTTGAATTGTTCAGAACGGGTCGTATCAGTTTATTGTAGCCACTCTTCTTTAGTAGGTCATCGTACAGTCTCTTAGCATCCGGGTTACCATAACAACCTGTAAGTAGCAGTTTGCAATATGGGAACGCACATATATAATTTCTCAAATGAGGGGGTGTAAAATACCATTTTCTTTTGCTTAGCGTAAATCAATTTGAAGTATGCTTTGTATTAAAGGCCCCGAGCAAAATTTGAAAATATTGTTTAATCTATTTGCAATATGAGAATTTTTTTCAAAAAGTTAACTTTCAATAAGAAGTTATTGGTCTTTTAATTTTCAAATATTTCGATTCAGCAAATGTTTGAATTTCTAGATAATCAAATACAACACTTTACCCTTTAAAACGCATTATTTTCTACCCTCCAATACATAGATAAAATAAAAATTACGTTATTTAGAGAACTAAATTCTTTTGCATACATTAAATATAACCTTTTCAAAATTTGTGATGTCATCAGGTTACGCTGTTATCTCATTCGGGGTGCGAAAATTATTTTCAAAGTTCACCATCATTTCTCCTCTAAATCTTTTCTAAATATGCTAAACTTTCAAAATAAATTTTAAATATTTCTGCACTTTTATTGTTTTCAATGAGAACTAACATTTTTAAATGTATTTTTCTCTGAACGATTTTTTGACAAACGTGTAACTTCTCTATTATTTTTCGACCAATCTTCTTATTTCAACCTAAATTAGATAGGATATACCCTTTCTATTGTCGTATCGTATTGAAGTATTGCTTATTAATAGATGCGTGCAACAGCAAAGTCATTTGAAATTTTGAAAACTTTTGAAATTGAAAAAAAAAACGTTTCACATACTGTATCACATTTTAAGACTATTGAGTAAGTTTACAAAATATGGAAAATTGGTTTAAACTTTTCTGGACTCTTTCATGACAATTTTAGGTATGTGTTAGATAATTTTAAGCTATTTATAGAACGACGCAAATCAAGTTATCATATGCTTACGTTTTGAGAGGAAAGCGTTTACTTATTACTTACTACGTGACCGTATTGTTTTTTTGTTTTTGTAAAAAATATTGCAAGTTATTTTTCTGGCATCTGGAAACAAGCCAGACACATAGTTTGCGTTCACCGGGAAGAGATAAGCTATTTGTCAAAAATATTACTGGAAATATCCCGTGCTATTGAACATCAGAGGTGAAAACCTCATGTACAAACGTTTTCAAATATGTTTAGTTACAACGTTTTTCTTTGCAAATTCTAAATTACCTTGTGATTATATTCAAATGGGCTTGGTCTTCAACTCTGATCCTAAAATCCCCCCTTATTTAAGAATCATAACAGCCCCAACATGTACATAGTAGAGCTATTAGTATTCCTTTAAATACTAAATATGCTTGAAAAATGACCTAGTAAACGACAAGCGCAAATTATAAGAGGTGCTTGCAATATATAACAGTGGTTATTTATTGATTTAGAATTTTAAATTAATGCCATATTATATCAGGTAAAATAAGTTGGATTGGACTTAAGATGCCTCTGGTGATATATGGAGCATACATTCGTTTGGTAAAACACTTATAATCCATGTTCTTATGGAGTTAATAGCTCTTGTAGCACCATCGCTGGTGATATGTAATTAGGAACGCAGTGAGAGTATTTTATACATCAAGAATGATTTGAATTATTGTTTGTTAATCAACTGTTAGTGTTTGGATACCAATATGGTATCTGTATTAAATGGATATAACTAGAGGCAAATTTTCTACTTTAAGGATCTATATGACTCTTGTCGTGTATCCCTTATCCAACAGTTACACTCCCCACAATAAGTTTGGCAACCGGGCGTTTTTATTGAATAATCTAATATCAACGCCCGCAGATGTTTACTTCTTAATTTTGTTCCTAGATTACAATAGCTCGGAAGTTTATGACTTTGATAATTTTTTTCGAATTGCCAAACATAATCAGATCTTCATTCGTTCGTGGTCCAAAAGGGGACTTCCGCTTGCTAAACTTCTGGACGGGGGAGTGTATCATGACCAGGGGCGGATCTGGGAAACAACAAGGGCTAAAATTAAAAAATAAGGCCTTGGAAGGCCCATTTATGACCAAAAGGATCCACTTTTTGGGGCCTTAGGCCTTTTTTGGCTCAACATTTTTTCTGGGCCCAATTTTTTCTGGGCCCACCCAACGTCCGCCAGTGATGACTATACACTGTACTCCTTAACTAGGAAGTCATTAACAGATATTCGAACATGACTGTATTCACGCTTTCTATAAACTGTGAACTAAGTCAATTGTTCACCTGCTGGTGTTTATTCGTCGATACAATACATGGCCATGGTCTGTACTTAGTGTTTCGTTCAGTGCATCGAAAGTGGGGAATGAAGTGACGATTTTGCAAAATTTTGCAATTATAGACCTCAGATCAGGTATATCAGGTATCAGGTATCGAGTATTAAATACCTTAGGGCGAGGAAAAAAGTGTTCAAGCCCTTCAAGTCCATTCGGTCGTTCGGGATACGGACAACGTCTGTGCCTACCCCTGTGGTATTTATTCGTCGATATAAGAGATACGTCCTCTTCGGTCTATATTTTTTAATTTCGCAAAGCTAAGAAATCCTTAATGTTTCTGTCAATGACCGCCAGAACATATGCACTTCAGTCAGTGTTTTATGGTGTTTAAACTGCTTCTTTATTCGGTACATTAATGTTCCATAAATACCAAATAAAACAAACAATTACCAAACCTTTACCCAATCTATCGAATGTTTTTTTATTTCATGAAATGTAATAATCTATACAATTTATATTCGCTAAATAGTTTCACTTGTTCTTTGTATTGACATTCACATTTGATATTTATACATGTATTTGTGTGATGCAGCGAATCAATTTGTTTTCTTTAACGCACGTATAATTCAGTTAATTATTTGTACATTCGGTATTTAGATTATTTATATTCGGTAAATACCGAATGCCACATTCGATAAATTTCGTTATTTTTCGATAATTTACGAGACTTTTAGTCACGTGATATATTTGTACGATGTAGAATAGCTGCGCGGCCATTTTGCAAATCTCGAAGTCACGTGACAAAATATCGAACAACAACACAAGTTATCGAATATTACTTTATTGCATTCGGTAAATAGCAAATTAGCTTTCGGTAAAATGCATTAACTATGTCATAGAAAAATAAACCATTTGGTAAATATAGGCAAACTTATTTCGGTAGGGTTCAAATAGAAATTCAATATTGTGCATATAATGTGTTGCTCTTAAGGAATATTATACCATAACAGTTTACGCAAAAAATATCATTTAACGAATGAAACATGTAATTTAATGCACATTGTATTAAGTGATTGGCTATTTTGAAAACTTAATTTGCTGTAACAAACATATAAACGTTTTTACCGAATGGAAAAATGATTTAGCGAATATAAATGTTTCATATATCGAATATATTTGAATTTAATGAATAGAGAAGCAAAAATAATGCCATAGTGTTTTATCTACATAAAGTTGTGAACCATTTTCCGCAAACTACCTTCAACGAGTTTTAATCATTGAGAATAGGCCTTAATCAAGCTAACTGATATTCAGCAATACGCCATTGCTACAGTTGGTAAATAGAAAAATGTGATGAGTAAACCCAAATACTGATCAAACCTCGCTCAAATTAAGAATTTTATTGTTTCTGTCGAGGAAATTCGAAATGAAGGTCGCGACAACTTCGAGCGATCAACCTTATAAATCAAAAACTAATTGAAAGGAAGACAAATAGGGATATAATAATTTAGTACGAGTACTTATTTATCCTTTCTATACCAGTAAAATTAGATATGAGCCTGATAATTCCATAGAGACTTTTATTAACTTGAAATTCCTTACAATGAAAAGATACTGTGATAATTAAAGCATACACCCACCAAAAGATAAATGTGTTACATTTGTTCTTAACAAGATCGAAAACCACTGACACTTCGTTTCTTTTGATCTCCAAAATCCTGGCAGATTGGAAATAACAGCAATAGTCTAACATGATGGTTCAATCCTGTTGACTTATTGGCTTAGTGGTGAAGACAACTTTATTGTAGAACTAACAAGGGCGGATGTGTTCGATTGTGACGATGATATATTCTTCATCATGCCCAATTTGATCCAAGATATCTAAATTTCCGTTTATTCAAAGAAAAATTGCAAATGGCAAAACATTACATTGTACGCAAGAGAGAGCAAGAAAATAGAATTTGATGAAAGTGAAGTGCACATTTGTTTGTATACACAAGTTGTTGCTGTCCATCAAATATGTTGAAGTCAGCTGGTATTTTATAGGTTATTGTCGATAGCGCTTCATAATGCATGTTTGGTCTTGCTTTGACTCTTTGGGTTTTCGCAAGGCATGACTATGGAGCCAGACCTTTTTGTAAATGTTTATATTTACGTATTAAAAAATGTTTAACTTTCAGTTGTCATTTTTTCAGCTCCTTTGTCATTTAACCCTTTCAATTTTTTCGGAAATAATAAACAATGTCACTATTCCCCATTTAGTTACTTCGACGTCAGGTCAATGTAACAAAATGGAGGAATTGCCCGAGTTCGAGTTCGGTATGATCTTTTGTGTCTCGGTTTAAACCCATATATAAGTCAAGTTGCAGATTATAGTCTCAAATCTAGGATGAATCTAAGTCTCAAATTTAGATTACAGTTCAGTACATAGAAATTTGCCTCCCAAAATACCGTATTCCAAATAAAATCTGATCGAGCCGTATTATGTGACAGAGTTGCTGGTTCCTTAATAAACATAAATGTCTTCGCTTGGAAATAACAGTGGAGCTATTACCAAGGAGTTGTGACAGATTCAATAAGAGATTAGTTTATTGACAAGGAAAGTCTACAATTTCATTATCGAACTCTGTTAGTTCCAAACATTGTATCGTAAAATACAGTTGTAATAAGGGAATTGGGAATTTTCAATTACATCACTAATTAAGAGCCAATTTCAACTGCCAGCACAAAACACATTGCTCCAAGGAAATGTGATATCGTTGCTAACAAACACGTATTTAGCATTTTAGCATCATGTTTAGCATTTATGGGGATTGTCACCACTCGTTGAGATTGTCAACCATTAAAAAATCACCACAACATCCCCAGATATGTTATGAAGTTATGAATGAAACCATTTCACTCCCCATCTTTACGACGTTTACAACGATACTGTGTTGGGAACGTTCAAAAGGAAAACGAAATGAGACACAATCTATCAATTAAACTCGAAGTTAATGAATTGCCATCATTAGGTAATAAGATACCGGCAATATTTCCAATTTTAGTGTGAATAAAATAACATTTTAGAATATAGGAATTCGATGTAAACCAAAATTGGTTCTAAAGTTATTACAACTTGAACTTAATAAGTGGATCGACTCCCACTAGATTAAAATATTTGCTGGTGATTAATTTTTGTCCTTTTGATAAAATGATTTGACTGCTTTGGCTTCAATATTGCCTCTCTTTTTGCTATGATCAGATCAATTGTGCACTTGTCTTCTATTATGTTTTAGATTGGAATTGGACAAAAGAGGCAAGGTCTAGCTATATTTTTATTATACACACAGAAACATTGCAACCAATGCGGCTAAGAGGGCAATATAAACGTTTATTCGATCTTGGTTGATTTGATGGGTGACTCCAATTTGTAATAGTCCGCAACATAACGCTGAGATGACGGCAATCTTGTTCTGCCTCACTATAAAGTATAACACAATTTATTCAGTTTGTCAGGCCATCACTATACACCCAGGCCTTGAACATTAAGTTTATCGTTGTCATTGTTTCTGTAGAAAGCAGCCTGATGGCAATTAATAGTACTTTTCTAAATATCCCGTTGGAAGAATGTTTATACGTGATCATATTATAAAGTATGCATTAATTACCGTTCAGCGCCCGCCTGACCTACTATCGTAACATGAATGTATGGAGCTACCAAGATGTGAATCGGACACGTACTGAGATCGTTCAATGCTTTTCTTTAATCTAAGGTAGATTTTTGAGGCTAATTTTTGTCCCTCTTGGAACCACGTTTTAAACTACTAATATGCAATTTTTCACCATTTTTAAATAATGAACATTCCTTTTATGATACACTTAACAATGAAAAATATGTCAAAATTGGAAATATCTTGAAAATACGCGAACTACGATTTTAAAGTGTGTATTTAGATCTGATTCATTAAATGTCGAGATGAGTGATCAATTTTTATAAGAATCTTCCTGCTGCTGGTTCTTTTATACAGAGTGACAAAAAGAGTAGTGTGAAAGGCAACCCATCCTCCTAAGCAGGTGTCCAGAATCCGTACCTCCTTCTCCCCCCCCCCCCCCTGCTATAACCAATTTGGAAGCGCCCGATTTAACTGAATCACGTGATCTAGTTGGACTTATACATGATTTCTGTCGCAGTGTTTCGACAGCCAATCAGATTGCGAGTTCTTAATCGGGGAAATGCTAACTGCTTATCGCAGGGGGTAAAAAGAAAGAATATATTCTGGATTTTGAAGCCCTGTGATCAGAGGATGAAGGCAACCACAGTACATGTTTTACCTATGCGTACACTTTGATACTGTGTCTTTAAGAATGGCAATGGTGATGACATGAACAGGGACTAAGAAAGATGGGAAATGTAACTTTCACCAGATCAATTTGTACAGAAAGTGATGACGAACGACTGGAGTCAGTAATTACGTATTTTTCACTGAATTGCATTGTACATTTCAAAAAGATCCATTTCCCCGTTTAGACCATAGCTTTTTGCATGTAATCATGATACTTGGAGGTTGTGAAATGCTAACTGTGAGAGTATAGAGTAGTACTAATTGATATATATATATATCACCTTTTCTATTCATGAAAGAATTTCAATTCAAACTAGAAAAACCACGGAGTAACAAATCTCACCGAACAAAACATATTTTGATAATTAGTTGCCATCTTGAAGATTCTTTGTGTGCTGTGTGCTTAGGCATCAATATACAAAATTTTGACCAAATCCATTCACTTGTGTTTGAGTTCTCAAAGATTACGTGTTTCACAAGAAATGGCCGGCATCGAACAGAGCTCCCGTGTCCTTAGGCATCAGCATATAAAATTTGAACCAAATCCGTTCAATGGTATTTGAGTTATCAAAGATTACGTTTTTTACGAAAAATGGCGGCCATTTTGAAATTCAGTGGTCATCTTGAAAATCTCTTCTTGAGCAAAGCTCTTTTGTCCCAGGAATCAGTATATAATTTGAATAAAATCCATCCTGACATTTGAGTTATTAAAGATTACATTTTTTACGAAAATGACGGCCATTTTAACTCAAGCAGCCATATTGAATCTTGAGCGGAAGTCCTTCACCAATAAGGCGTAAGGTTATAAAATTTTAATCAAATCCGTCGACCGGTATTTGAGTCATCGCCAGACACAAGAACGGACAGCTTTCCTATATCCCCTCGAATTAAGTTCGACGGGACAAAATTGATTTAAACATAAGTAAAAGTCCCATTGTGACACTTCCCTAACTCCCTTTAGTTTGCAGTTTAAATATTCATCTGATAACCATAAAAATGATGTCATTGAATCTGTCCACGAATAGTATTTCATAATAAAATGGTTTTATGGCCTTGTGTTTATTATGTGCATCCTCCGAACATACAGTAGGCCTCCATAACTCGTACCTCTTCCAGAAGGAGGAATGAATTTAGTGGTTGATGTCTGGAACCCTGCGTTCGGAGGATGCCATACGTGTGATGTAAGCTAAGTCCTTAAAGAGATCGAGTCGTCCAGATTTCTATTCTGAACAATCAGTAATGTCCCAATATAATTGCTCATAAAACATCATATATACCTAATTAGATATATCTTGAGACAAAATCATAAGCACGATATCGACAATATATTGAGGATATCAACAGGACAACCAAAAGAACAACCAACTGTCAGAATTGAACGCAATAAGTCGAAAACAGAATACAATGTTTTTTGAGGATTTATCTATATTGTAACCCCTTAGAAGTAATAAATATGGCTTCTCCAAGCCAAAATAATCTAAAGGAAAAAGCCAATCAGACGGTAACAAATTTGAATGGGCTTTTTAAATTTTAATTTTAATTTCTATTGATGTAAGTGGAAATTCATGGCTAGGAACAATCATCGAATTGACACTGTTAACGAATTAATTCATGCCTCAGAATTGATAAGTTGATAAACAAACTTGTTTTACATCAAATAACATGAAAAAATCAAGGGGTTACTCTAATTGTGTTTTTTAGGAGACCTGATCTCTTTAAATATTGAACTGTGGTAAATCAAGTAGATCAACAATTGAAAGTTTGTTAAGTCTGATTTTTAGACTTTTCAAAATGGGATTTTAGTTATTCTGCGCTTACCTTGTACGATCATTAGAAATACAGCTACAATGCCCTCGGTCCCCATTTCGTAGTCAACCTGGCCTAGAAAGTGTAGAGTTTTTTATGGTATTTACACTTTTTCTTCAAGGTGAGATATTGTAATTAGCATCTGATGATATAATCCACCTAAAAACAAATTCAATTATTACTCCAATGTTGAAACATAAACTTATTCAAGTTTGACGTTGTATCAGATGTATTCCATAGTGGATAGATCAAAATGAGTTATTCACTAACAGTTGAACATGAGCCATACTTCGTAATGTGTGTCGATCTTAATTGAAATATTCACACAAGTCCCTATCGTCTACATTTTAAGCGCATTGTTTCCTAAGTAGTACGTCCTGGAAGACATCATAAGTAACAATTGGGGTTGACTTGACCCTCAATCCGCCTAATATATGAATCAATCCGCATCGTATTAACAACGGGTTCTGCAAATGTCCAGATGCACACTGTATCTAGTACAAGTTTGGTATTCAAGAGCAATAACAGATTTACAAATCAATCAATTAAAGGGGCATCAAGGAATAGATATGACTTGATTGTAACTTTTGAAAAGTAGTTTCGGTTCTGATGCGTTCAAACTGTGCAGCTTAAATGTAATTGTAAAGCTTGAAGTTTTGGCAATAATTCCGAAAAATTAGAAGTCAACACTCTTGATTTCAAATTTGGATATTTTTTCCTTTAAATGATTTCTTTCATAATTCATCAAAGATCTTAAACTTTTCAGATATTGAATCAGAGATAGCAAAAACGTACACATCTGAATCCTCTTATAATTACCACCATTGTACATGCTTGTCTAATTTCATCGGTAGACTGACCCATATCAGGCTTCTATAAAGGGGTGCACTTGTACTATGGCTACTTTAAAGGTCCCGTGTCCCAATCTCACGTTGGCTGACGGTTTAGCATTATCCTATATTTATTACCCACATAATTCGATAATCGGTTGTAAAATGGGAATCGAATCAAAAAGTGCAAAAATAGTTCTGGTCGATTGGATAGATGAAGTAATGTAATTTATACTCAATCTTTCAAATGGAGTTGTGTTTTACAGAGTTTGATGAGACAGTCATGGGGAATAATATACTTTTTACTTTATTTAGATAATAAGAAATATTTTAGGGCCTTTCCTGCTACAAGTTTTGTCGAATGTGGACCAGATAATTTATTTATTACTGAGATAAATATTTCTAGACGACCTGTCTAAAATCAAGTTTGGTGTACTGTACATCCTCAATTTGTTGAGATTAGCAAAGCTCGGTGATGAAGATTGCATACAAATAAAAAGGTCGATTAAAAGGGAAACATGATTTATCTTGAAATGAAGAAACCATATTTGGTGGGAAATACGGGCTCCCTTGTGGTATTATTCAAAATTAGACAATTTTTTATCATGTTTTATTCAATATTATGTTAAAAGAAAATTTCCAAAAAGGCGACTTTGTTTAACATTATAAGTCGCAAGGTATATAGCCAATATCTAACAAGAAAACAATATGTAACAAGAAAACAATATCAGAAAAAAGAAAACCAAAAAAAGATGTAATAACTTTTATGCATGAAGTTTTTTTTTATATACTCCTAGTATGGTTTATTAAATAGCAAGATTATAGATGTGTATCATGGACATTCAATTGTTTAATGTGAAACGTCACATCAATAATTACAATGAGCAGATCGAAGATGGAATCATCTTTGCACCAAATTGAATAAGGACTAAAATCACAGGGATGGTTAAATTCGCTAAGTAGCCATCAAGACAAAATATTGAATGACTAAATCCCTATGAATTTATCGAAAACGTTTCTCATTTTCTTAATTTCAACAATTACTTGGAACAAAGCCTTTGTTATTCCAATGGTGTTCCCCAAGCTTAACTTCCAATTTGTCATTTGGCTTTTATTTGTTTAATCAATTTGCTAGCCGCGAAATTAACCAAATGAATGCAAATGTATCACTACTAGCTTTCAGATCAAATAAAAGGACCTTCCAATTCGCACTCTGAAACTCCAAGGCTAAAGATAATGATGATTCTTTGTCGTATATCATATGATTGTCGTGTTTGTGGTATCCTCTTCCACAATATATAGACATTCCCAGACTTATATATTTTCTTAATTGTTAAGATATGATGTATTTGGATGTTTGCTTCTTCAATGAACATATTTGGTCGACCAATGAACTATACTTCAAATAATTTATTCTCTGGTTTTCCTTACTCCCATTCTGTACCAACATCGTAGACTTTCCAGGAGCGCCTGGCTTTTTTGACAGTTCTATCAGTTTTTATTGCATCGTATTTGTAGCATCAACGTTTTAGTTGTGCATAAATCCCCCAAATTATCTTTTGAAGATTGTTAAGCATAAAGGGATAAGGTTGCATTTATACATCTTACCATTTCCAAATTTTTGTACAAAGAAACGTTGAACGGCCTACCAATAGCTTTGGAAACGGGAAGTCCTCGGTGGATAACATGTTTATAACTTTATATTTGAATCCCAAATTTTACCTCAATTACAATGCTTTGGATATGTATGACAAATTATAAATTTGTTAAACATAATTTAGCCAGAAAGGATGCTTCCAGTTGCCAAACCTTTGAAGAGGAGTGCACGGTGTAACTTATCTTTATAACAAGCGTTCCACTCAGGTTTATAACCAGTCGGTAACCTTTTTATTCGTTCGATATTTAGATTCTTGACAAGTTGAAGTAATTCTGACTCAGCATTAATCATAAACTAACCCTAAAGCCCCTCCAGCAATGGCTTATATAGGACTAAGTATAGTAGCGTCTAGGGAATGGACGGCAAATGTAGACTATGGTGAATCACCCGCTCTTAAGCGGTGCGCCCCTCCAACACCTGGTGAATCTGTAAACCTTATGTATGGCTTAAACCCTATGGTAATTGAAGTCCAGTCTTCGTACCAAACTGTCAATAACAATTTGATTTCCCAAGAAAACGTTCTGATACCTCGGAATCACAGACATCTTTTATTAATACATACACACATAACGTAAACGTCAAGGTACTGAACACACTGTTACCTTTTTATCTATGTTGATCCCACCCTTCTTCCATTTCCATCAAAATTCCATCCACGCATCTTGTTGATTCCTCAACCATATCTTGGTCTTAATATTCTTATATTTTGCTTTAACATGTACGGTTATAAATATCCGCTAAACGTTTTGCATGATCATTGTATAATTATGCTTATCGAGGAATAAGAAAATTAAAAAATAAATTGAAACTTCAACATCACATTCTTATATGTTAAAATTACTGATTTTGGATAGTTAATGAAAGTTAACTTTATTAAACCGTTGGTACTGGATGATCATAAAACACTGATAATCAGTTATTATGAAATTATGTGCCATTGTTTATGTTACCATAGCAACCATAACTGAACTATAATAGTTGATGGTACAATAAAATTCTAGAAATTGAACGCACAATATAACAAGCTTATTTAAGATATTCGTGTCTAAATATTATGAAATAAAATTTAGGAGACACCTAAATGAGAATGTATCGATACCTACGTATATGACTGAATAAAGCATGACATCGTTTTTACCTCACATAATATATAAAATCGTACATATCAGATTGATAATCCACAAAACTGCAAAAGTCTGCATGGCTATTAATTGACATCAGATGGACGAACTCATGCCTGTTGGTAATTCTCCCTAATGTGACAGTGTTCAATTAGTCGTGAAAAAATCAATCCAATGCTACGCAATGTTTATGTTGTCCAAAACTGCTTTGTGTTATAAACATGTTGTGTAGAATATCATATCCAGTTAGTGTGTAAAGTAGCCATATAGTTGAACATGAATACCTAAGATTTCCCCCGAATCAAATAAATCAAGATACAGGCAAACATGTATGTTGCAGTATGTAGTTAGGTTATGGATGTTCTAATACATGTTGTTCTGAAGAACGGGCCAACTGTATGCGTAGGAGTTATTTATATTTGTGTTCATATCGTTGTTATTGTATCTTGTAAACAACAAGCAAACTCCTCCTAAATTGAATATTAATCTCTGTTTTAATTCAATCTCATTTCATTCGGAACTAACTCAAGCTTGTAACTAATTTAAATATTTCTTATAGCTGTAGAGCTCTGTAATTTATTATGACAATGATGAATGGTTACCTTTTTGCAAGAAGGCTGTAAATGCATGAATGATGACGATTGAAATACCCGATAAAACAATCCAGGTGTTGCTGTGTATGGCGTATTGCGATCCATTATTCATTGATGAATCCAACCAAGCGTAAATAGATTTGCATATTCCTATATTTTAATTTACTCCAGAACAAGTAGAAGTTATGTTTCATAGGGCGTTTGTTCTCATGAAAGAAATGTCTGATCGGAAATAATTGAACCTTTGGGGGTATGTGTTAGAACTATTCATGCTCGACTATTATCCGACCTAAGACAAAAGGATTGTGATCACCAATGATACTACTTCAGAAAAATATGAAAATTAATGACAGGATCAATAAATAGATGTCGCGTTTATCAGCAGAACAAATTGTGTTCAGAATAGTGTGAAGTAAATATTATGAGAAAATGGATTCTGACAATTCTGATAAAAACAACTTTCTGTCGATATGGTTCAAAATTTGATTGACATCTTTGTCTTTGCAATATCCATGTTTAAAGCTAAACTGACAACCCGTGACAGGCCCGTAAGAGCAAGCTGACCTACAGGTCACTCTTTGTTCTCATAAACAGAATTTTTACTGATTATTAGTTATTGAGTTCGATTTTTAAATTTTCTATTAACACATTGATACAGAATAATTGCTCTTTCAAGTCAGCATATTTGAGGGTTTCCAGCTTTATATTTTGTATTCATTTGAAAGTCTTGTATTGGGATTAAAAGTCGTCGTTGTGGAGAACATTGTAGTTTTCGCGATAAGCTAGCTTCCCAAATCAGAAATCCGAAAATATCTACATGGGTCATCCCTAATTTTGAAAGTGTGTTCACGGTGCACCTATTCTACCAACAAGCTCCTAATAATCGCATGTCGAAATGGCCGAAGGTAATGAATGAATTCGATGGTATAGTAGTTTCAGAAAATTGTTACAAACGATCTTCAATGTAATAGCGACATCTTTGTAAGTAATTAATTACATTTTCATAGTACTATGTGGTGCATTTATAGTTTGAAGGTAAACAGTTAGAAAAATTTAACATACACGACAAATTTTTATTTTTTTCATAAATATGCTTAAAAAATATGAAGAGTGTAATTAGTATAGAGTTAATGTAGTTTCGCTATTACTAATATAATACACACACAGAAGAGGTACACTCCCCTCCATGAGTTTGGCAACCCTAACTCCCTCACTGGATTACATGATAAAGCCTATTTTTGTTTGACTTTGAAGCTCTGTAACTTTCATGTTCACAAAGTAAACTTAAAACTTAGTGAACAAAAAAGTTAGACAATTCAATTTTCTGTTTAAAAATATTTTTTGGTGAAGCATTTAGATATCCAGAAATTTGATTTGCCCCGAATCCACCATTTCTCATTGGTTTACATGGGAATGACAATTTTCAAAAATTCATCAAATTTGTCATCAATTTTCGGCCTATTGTAATTGAGAAAAATAGAAAAATTTAGAGGCAACGTAAATGAAGTCAAGCTACACTTCCACCTTTATCAAAAGTACTTTCATCGCTCGTTATGTGAATAAAATTCAACATAAAGAGGCTTTTACACGTACAGTAGTCCAATGAGGGAGTTAGGGTTGCCAAACTTATGAAGGGGAGTGCATGATATATATATATATATATATATATACTTCATATACTTTCTGATGTTCCTGCGTGAAATGCCATATCACGCGTACGGTGACTATCCAGGCCCCGTATATCGCGAGGAAGTCCCCGCTGACATCGCGAGCAATGAGCTCATGTTAGAAGCGGGGCCTTGAGAGATAATCATATAGTTATAAAGCTGAACTGAATTTGACTAATAAGTAAAGTTCCATAGAAAATTTTATATTTCAATTTTATCATATCTCTCAAGGCCCCGATTCTAACATGAGCTCATTTCTCACGATGTCAGTGGGGCCTGAATAGTCCCCATGCATTATATATAATAGTCATGAGCTCTTCGCACAAGTACAGTCTGTCACTTACATAGGCATGCCACGGGTTAAGTACACCACAAAGCTTTAATTTTAACAACAATCTTGGTAGTCTAGCTACAAGCCCATGTGCCCCCCCCCCCCCCCCCCTTATTGACTGAATATGTTCTGACACTTGTTTGGATGAGTATTGGGGGTCACAAGGCGTTGTAGCTAGATTATAATCCGGGCTGCAATCTTGGGAACAATCTCTGTTTGAAATAATATACATCTTCCCACTTCATGTCACATTTTATTTAGCCATTCTGCTATATAAATCCTGGTAATTACGTATTTCTTTAGTATTCGCAGTTCACGTGTCATTGTCATTCTGCGACTTCAAATGTTCACCAGACAAATCTCACGAAAGATTTGATAAAACTCGATAAATGCCAAGGTGATATATGATATTGAAGCCACAGCCAAAGGACTACAATTCCAACCCGTCTATTGAGAAAATTGACAAATTGCAAATGTTAAAAACAGTGTCCTTTCGATAGACGGCGGAAATTCGAACAAAACGAATGTGTTCCCTTCTCTTGGTGACAGTTAAGCGAGTTACAGTCCGTTGCTGTGACTTCGATATCATAAATCACCGTAACTGTAGTTCTCTGACAGGCATGTGTATACTAATATTAGTCGCAGTGTGTTTGTCGCTGGCCCTGTCGCCTCAGATCGTGCCACATGGACACAGGTTTGCGTAATGACTGAATCATTTGGTTCCAATGGGACAACGCGCTACCAAAACAATGAGCACCAACAATCACGTGACCAAGAGACGTCAGTCTCCCATCGGATGATTTTTCTACCACAGATAAACGAATTTGTACATTCTGAAAAGAATAGATATGTATAAATGCAAGTTCAAGTTTAATATATGAACTCTCTTTATATTACTGGGTACTGAAGTGCTGTTCTAATGGGACACACTACTTAAAATGTGGCAACCCTGACTTTAACACGTTGTCCAATAGAAAAGTTGGACAAGCAAGTGTACACCTACGTACACGTAATTGTAATGTTGATCCGAGTGGTTGATTTGATAGAACTGAATTAAATTTATCTATGAATTTCAATAATATGTGCCTTGTATCAATTTTCCCCGTCACAATATGTTTTCCACTGGTGATCCGCTTGATTACGCTGGTTATCGAAACGGTTCGTTGGAACGTAGAAGGTACGATTTTTCTTTTTTCCTTATTTCACGCGTTGTAGGCAGAATTCCAACGGCGTTTTTTCTCACAAACGCGTATCAGCATCATATGTTTTAGAAAATACACATGTTTGCGAAAAAATAGCTCAGAAGACAACAGAATCGTCGATTTAATTCCTCACTTAAGTTACATAAACGGTTTGGGTTAAAAGTGTAGGTTTTTCGAAAAACCGTTTATGTAACTTAAGTGAGGAATTAAATCGACGATTCTGTTGTCTTCTTAACTATTTGTTCGCAAATATGTACATTTTTTAAACATATGATACTGATACAGGTTTGTGTTAAAAGTGTCGTGGGAATTCTCACTACAACGTATGGAATAAGGAAAAATGAAAAAATCGTACCTTCGATGTTCCGACATTTTGTTACCAAAACGAACCGTTTCGGTAACCAGCGTAATCGAGTGGATCACCAGTGTTTTCCTTCAACCTGGCATTGAGACAGAAAATGGGAAAACATACCAACAGGATGGTCCAAAAATGGAACACTTGTATTTAATAGATAAATATTGACTTCATCATGTTTATCGATTGAAACATATATTATATAACAGTGGATAGGGAATTTAATTATCTTTAATTTTGTATATCCTAAGTTCAAATTTATTATAATGCCGGTCAACCAGCATCCATAATACAAATTACGTCATTTTTGTTCCAAAATGGTTTTTCCAAAAACTTGCAAAAACCAATTTTTTTGTCAACATAAACAGATGCTCAATATGTCCACCATTTTTATCAATTATAGCCCTCAATCTTGGTATAAACGTGTCGATAGCATCATTGATATGCTTTTGAAATAATGAATTCCACTTCCTCAACAATTCTGTCCTGAGTATATGTAAGGGGTTCAAGGTACACCAACTCTGTTAGTTCTCCCCATACGTGGTCGTCGCAGACGTTGGCATCGGGTGATCTAGGGGCCAGTGATTAAGGGGGGTGAATCAATATCTCCTACACATACGACTTATTCCTGATCTCATATTCGGATCATTAAATTGTCCAACAAGATAGGGGTCCAGGTCATAGATCTCACAAGGCACTCAAATATTTAAATAGTCCATGGTATGATTTCCGAATATGAAGGATCCGTAGCACAATAGGAGTATAGCGCAGCAACATTTGAAGCAATGTTTATGGAAGTGCATATGTCTTGATTCTTTTAAAATGCCATTTGCTTTTCGGGTCGAAAACTGTCTTTCAACACAAGGGGTAAAAAAACGTAAATATTTTGATTCAAACTTTTATACATTTTATAAGACACAGACCGTCTAAGCATACTAATAAAAAATAGATTATCATAATGTAAAAATATACTATACTTTTACTGTAGATGTCGGTGTTTAATTAGTGTAACTACGCAAGTGTATTTTCAGATTTTGTTTGATTTTTCAAATATGGGCTAAGCAGATTCAACACAATTGTGTGGAATATTTAGCGAATTTATGGTTGCTTGGGAACATATTATTTTTTCCATATAATCGCAAGGGGTCGAACAACAAATTATTGTTTGTGTTTTATAAAACATAATACAATAACAAATAGGTAAGATTTATATCTAATTAAATGTTACTGAGGTATTGGAATGTTCATATATTCCAGGGGCATGTTTAATAATTAATTAGAGTCATATGCAATCGAACGCCTTACAATTCTTCCTCGACGTTACTGCTGGCTACCGTCAAGTTACCTGATGGTTGTTTCCGCTGGATATAATCAAATTTTAGGAAGATAATGGTAATGATCTTTCTCAATTATTTATGAATTCGACCAAGTCTTGATGGTTGTTTTATAAGCAACTGAGCTATATCTAACTACGAGAAATAGAATTTTAGCTGTAGTCCCAATTAGTCAAGGGAGAGCAATGGGCCCTCCTTTATTGATAATGTTCACTGATGAATAAAAGTCCATATCTCAAAACGTACTGAGACCCATTTTGTGAAAAACTAGCATAATTTAAGCATTTGTCATTCTAATATAAAAGTGATTCATTTGTAGCATTTATCTTATTAATACCTGAGAAACATACAAAACGTCGATACAATGATTACATATTTTTTGGTATTGATAAGAAAAATAACCTCAAACTTATAGCTTAGAAACCTAAATCATATATTTAAAATAATTTTGTATTATTTTCTGTTGCACTGTGTACTCCAAATTGTGAAAAATTGGGATTTTATTTTTTGGTAATTTTTTGACCTCTGTTAATGGCAGGCATAATTCAGCCTAAAAGGCGGAAGTGTATTAAACGGTTATAATAAAAATTATTAGGGAACATGTGTAGGTATGTTAATGTTAGTTCAAATTTCGCTGCGCTATACACTGTAGTGTCCTACCAGGTATTTTATTAGACGTCCTAGAGATTTCATACCATGGACTAAAAGTAGAATGTGTCTCGATTCATCCATAATCACTGCCCCCCCCCCCCCCCCCCGATGCCAATTTCTGCGAGAACCAACAAAACTGGTGTATTATGAACTCTACATCTATTCAGTCCCTTAAGGACAGAATTGTTGAGAAGTGGAATTCATTTCCATTGTCTCAACAGCATATCAATGATGCTATTGGCCAGTTAAGGCCAAGATTGGAGAATATAATTGATCATATGTGTCTGTTGACAAAGAAAACTTGGTTTTTGCAAGTTTTTGAAAACAAGTTTTGGAACGAAAATGACGTGTATGACATGTATTATACTAAATCTGAACTTACTAGGATATATCAAATTAAAGGTAATTAAATTCCCCGTCCACTGGACCAGGTATATAATGTGAGATGTTTTCATCAATAAAATCAATGTTTATTTTTGAAATAGTATTGCCCCATTTTTGACCACCCTGTAGTTTATGATTTTGAAACAAGACTAGTCAGGACAATTATGATTAAAATTGCAAAATACGCGATACCTTCAACGTTGGAGACGGAACTGAAAAGATCATGGCTTCGTTGAATATTGGCATCTTGTCCCCACATTTCAGATTTGTTTTCTTCTTGCTTATTTTCTTATTCTTTTGGAGAAGATAAACTTTCACAAAACAGTCTGAAAATAAATAGTGATTACAAAATTTACGACATAATAATGACATAACGAAGAACAGCAAACATATTGATAGATAACTAGAGACAGTAATAACATGTTATTTCACAATAGAGGGGAATATACAAGATTTGATTACGATCTTTAAATGACTTTAAGAGGTCACCAAGTCTGGCAGTGACTAGCTAAAATTACATTCTGGAATGTAAATCATCGGAAACACAAAGGCATACATGCAAGGAGGATTGGGTCCCAGAGTGCAACATCGATCTTTTGTCCCATATTTGGGCATGTCGTGGTACAAAATTCGCCGCCATTTTGTTCACTTCAACATTTGAATCGTGAATTTATGTCTTATTTCCTCACGAAAAATTCTAAAACTCACAAGAAATGATCGAGATATTGTTTCGAATCTTTTGAACTGTTGATTTTGAATTTATAGTCGGTTACAATTTCAGAAAATAACGACATCTCGACGTTTTCATTGTTGGAAAATATCGAGTTTCGATTCTGGGAGCCAATCCTCCTTGGTATACATGTATATACAGTAGCTAAAATTGATATTAACTTAGATATTATATCATCCTGTTTAAATTCATCTCTCTGGCAATGCATTGATTAACTCAAGTTTATTTACTTTAGATATTATATAGTTATACGTCATCGGTCCAACAACTAAATCTTTTCTCCCAGTAAGTAACTTTAAATGCAAAAGTTCTTGAAGTGTACTTTACCTCCCAGCGTCCTTTCGTCTGTATATTTTAATCCCCTGGCTTTCACAACGACCACTGTAAGTCGTTCTGCTGTCGGCAAGTAGCTGAGGGAAAACATAATTCCCCCGAAGTCAGCAGGTTTCTAGAAAAAGAGAATGTTCTATAAAATCTATACCGCTACCGTTTTAAATTGTCAAATTTGACTTGCTTTTTTAAAAACTGACTACCCAATGGCTAGGGGCCTGGTGTTATAAATTCGAGAAGCCAAATATTGCTGCGCAGTAGAGAAATGAATGCCCAAAAACTAACCAGTTCTAAAGTTTCAAAGCATGAAACATCGCTAAAACTTGAAACGTGTAAAAGGACTTTACAGACGAGATTTTATGATGGAAAATCCAAAATAGCCAACTTGACATTTATCCAGAATCTCAAAAAGATTCAAAGAGAGTCCCTAAAGGTTTGAAATCAATTGAACAAACGATTCGCCTTGAAACACATAGAAAATACTTTAAACACAAGATTTTAGGACGGAAAATGGCCACCTTGACATTTAGCCAGCATGCCCAAACTCTAATAAGTTCGAGATTTTATATGAAGATGCATCACTGAAAATCTGAAATCAATCCATCAAACGGTTTTGTATGAAACGTGTAAACTTTACAGACAAGATTTAAGGACAGAAAATGGCCGACTTAACATTTGTCCAGAATGCCCAAAATCAGCTCGAGATGTTTCGGTGTGAGTACCGTAATCCAACACGAAATTCGAAAATTCTGAACACTAAGTTTGCACATGGCGTTCGTGACCAACTATGAAACGCTTACCCCCCCCCCCCCCCCCCCTTAGTATTATACAGTGTATCCCAAAAACCGCAACAAGCAAAAACATAGTAAAACCACAAAATCAGTGATAATAACATCAATTTCATCTAATTAACCATGAAGCCATATTTCTCCTCTTTTCAATGGTATGTCATTTGTTGGATAATGGATCACTTACTAATCATTGCTTTTTCGAAAAGGCATTTGTGCCAAGTTTTGACATATCCTCAGTCAACTGATCCTATTGTGCAATCAGGTACATCATTACGTAATTGGGACTGGGGATTAAATTCTGGTCACAAGAGTTATATAACACACGTTTCAGATTTAGATTCACTTAGAAAAAATATTGAACTGTTCATCAGTATCCTTGATGGTTCAGTTATAACGTTACAAACATAAGGAAAAGAAGTGGCATAAACAGTAAGTCAGTAAAGTCACAATAATTGCCAGTGTCTGTCATCTTAATTATGAAAGATTACTCATGAAAGATTACATTCCACAACCCTTCACATTGCAACCATTTCTCTACGCAGAGATTGGCTCGTCTCTCCATGTCATGAATCATGTTTGAATCATTTGTGGGTTCTGGCGGAGAGCAGCAACATTATTGGTGATTCTTTGTTAACTCTTGTAATATCTAAAACTTGGTCGAGAGCAGATTTTGGCCCGATGTGCAAAAGTAATGATTATTCAGTGGTCTGTGGTCATATATGAATAAATGACATACCATTGGAAAGAAGAGAAATGTGGCTTCATGGTAAAATAAATTGATGCAATCACCACTGGTTTTGTGGTTTTGCAGTGTTTTTGCTTGTTGCGTTCTTTGGGACACATTGTATATTAAAATTTACCTGTTCATATTGGGGTTCATTGATCTTCATCAAATTATAGGGAATCAGGTTACTTTTTTAGATATCAGCCTGCATATCTTGTAACTCGCGTTTGCTACCACTTTATTTTGATACCACATAATGGCATATTAGGCACCCTAGAAGCCAACTATGGCGTTATTTAGAACAAAATCACAGGTTTTTAAATGGACTATATAGGAGTCATACGCTTTGGGTGGTGGATATGGAACCTCACACCTTTATATGAAGAATATTTAAGATTTGAAAGACAAGATTTAATGACCGAAAATCCAAAATGATCGCCTTGACATTTATCCAGAAAACCCAAAATCTAATCAGTTCGAGAGCTTATTTCGCTTCCTAGTCAACTCGTACCCAAGACAACTCGTACCCAAGACAACTCGTACCCAAGACAACTCGTACCCAAGATTATTTTCAGTATTATGGGTGCATATTACGGAAAAAATTGAGTTTGTAATGCTTTCATGTTATAATGTGAATCAAATAAGCCTCAATATTTTTTTGAATTTAGGACATTTTTTCTCAATGGATCAGTAAAGCGTTTTTTTTATTAAATAAAAGAAGTGCTTGAAGCGCTTGTTCTCAACATTTTTTTATAAATAAATATAATTACAACATTAGATCTGACACTTGTTCCAAACACTCATAAACATACATAATTTTGAAAAATGATTATAAATATGTGGAATAAACATATGTCTCTTCACTCGAACATCCTGAATCTGTGACCAATATGAAATAATAGTCAATAAAAATTGACACTCAGCTCAAAATGTCACAAAATTAAATCAATTTCTTCTGAAAATTCTTCTTCAAACTTCAAACTATTCTGAACAGTATGTTACAATTATAATATGTATATCTATTCACATTCCCAGTCCAATGCTTGATTCAAAACAAAATATATACTTATGTACGAGTTGTCTTGGGTACGAGTTGTCTTGGGTACGAGTTGACCAGTTACCGTTCGAGATGTTCATATAAATAATATTTTAAGAGTTTAAACACGAGATTAAAGAACGGAAACCCCAAAATGGCCACCTTTACATTCATCTAGAATGACCAAAATTTATTCAGTTCGAGATGCTTATACATATATACAAGTAGTAGAAACATGAAATCCCCTATCCGCCGGCAAACTGATCAAAATGTTCTTGTTTTAAAATATTTGAAACAAATGTTATGGGCAAAACAGATATAATTTCAATATACAAACCTCATCTACCCCTCTCAGATTCATCCACATGCGTACTGGGTGTACGAGGTCAACATCGCCTAGGCACATATCAACTTCACCGACAACTTTATGCCTGGCATATTTGTCCATAGAATATAGATGGAACTGTATATTAGTTTTGTTCAGGTCTATAGGATCAAGTTCTGTCTTAAATCTCTCAATATATTCAGGATTTGTTGTTCCTTTTTGAACCTGGAAATAGATTAAATATATTATTTGTTTATTATTATGTAGACATACGAGCGTGTAATAAAAAAAGATTTAAAAGTCTGTTATCCTGATAATGAAACAACAAAAACATTGTAATATGTAGAGACATAAACAAGGATGACAAATACAAGTTTGTACCTCATCGAAACTCCTATCAATCTCTTGAATGTAAAGAACGGGAAGAAAACAAATCACAAACGTTTCACAAATGGCTATTACTTCAGCTCTTTGACCTTTTTTTAGATACCAAACTGGAGCTGTATTTCATATAGTTGAAGTAAAATGGCAAAATGTCAAAATATAAAAATGCTCTGAAAGCCAAACTATAATAAATTGTTCAGAAAAAAATATGCCTCTTACATTTTTTAAATGTTGTATTGCACTAAGAATCTTATTCTTTGCCTAGAATGATCTGGTAATACAATGTAGTTAAAAATAAGTGGAAATAAAATATGTTTTAATAATTGGATCGCAAAAGGTATAAATTTTGTAAGTGATATTGTAACCAATGATAGAGTAATGACATATGATGAAATATCTAGGATTATTGGTAGGAATCCTTTGACACTGATACAATTTAATACATTGGTCTTTCAAATTGCTCAATAGAAATGTATTATAACATACCTATGATGATGTATAGTGCAAAGTGTACACAAGACAGCGGGCCAATATAAGTTTTGAAAAGCCCGCGCCCGCTAACTTTCTGATTGGTCAAGGCGCTGACGTCATAACCAATCAATCGAAGATAAAACTGCTCGAGCAATTTTTCTAAACTCATTTTAATCATTTTCAAACCATCTGTTTGTCAATTCTATAAGAAAACTGTACTCTCTGACCAGTCTACATCATCATAGGTATGTTATAAATCGTTTATGTGACTATCGTGGCACATATGCCCTCGGTTCTCAGAGATCAATGTCCCTCCCAAGGCCAGGCCATATATCACTGAGACCTCGGGCATATATGCCACGATAGTGACATAACCTCTAAATATTACTTTATGGTAATGTAAAAGCAGATGATGATTTCAAAATATATTTAAATGGTAAAGAGATAACATTTATGAAACATCAGGTTTTAGAAAACTATGTACAGATAAAAGAAAATTGATTTTACAGTATAATGGTAAGGATATTTCATTGGCTTAGAGCATTCAAGTGCAAAGTAGATGCCAAACTCTTAATTATTCACTGGAAAACATTACACAACATATATCAATGTAATGAGATTTTAAATCGTTTTAGAATTAGAGATAGTTCATGTTGTGAAAATTGTAATGCAATTGACAAGGTTAAACATAATTTTTATGAGTGTACAAAAATAAGGGATATATTGACATTTTTTGATAATATCACTTTTGAACAAATTATTGGAATAAATAAGTATAAGAATTATAAAGAAGTTTTAATAACCAAGAGGGCAATACAAATTTTCAATATAGACAAAACTGAAAGTATTCATGCATATTTTGAAAAAGAAAAACAGTACAGAAATTAAACAATGTAAATAGGTCTATATGTAATGTATAATTGTACCAGTATATATGTTTTATTCTTGAAATATAGTTTTTACAAAAAAATAATAATTTGGTAATACAACATTAACGCATTTTATATTACCTTTGTGGTAAACTTTGCCTCTGATAGCTCGGGTGATATGTAGACCTTCACATAAGTGTCGATAGTTCCAGTGAACTCATTTGGTGTCAGGTCTTTAGCCTGAATGATACTGACAATGATTTCTAGCGACTCCCTGGAATAAACATTTTGTTGTCTTTGATAAATTGAAAACAAACTAAATGTATTGTTTATAATTAATTTGTTCAAGAGGCACAATGCACGCATTGAAAATTATATTCTGTACAATGAGGATATGGTCGTGTAATCGTCATGGATGAGATGGTACGAATTTGTTTTAAGCTGATTTTAGTTATATCTTACATTGTATGAAACATAACGCTCTAAGAAGCTTCTTAAAGATATTGGCAAAAAAAATATCATCATAGTTTTAAAAGTGTAATATACATGACATCGATATAAGAAAGCACATGGGAATACTTGGAATTAAAGGACTGTAAATTTCATAAATTTGAAAGGAGTTACTAATATCACCAGGATCGAGGAAGACTAATCACGTTTCCTTGTGTAAATCATTCACCGCAAGCTTTAAAAGTTCGTGGCAATTACTGAATGTAAACTGACAATAAGGACTACATTTAAAGAATACTCTTCAGACAGTCACGCAGACACAATCTAGAATTCACCACCAGCAATAGAATGGCATTCAAGTTAATGATAAGCAATCTGCAATACAAAAAGAGAGGGAACCCCGTGGCATTTCGAGCCATGATTTAGTTAGAAACGCTCCTAATGAAGCATTTTGCGGAGTTTTCTTTACCTCTAGTCTTTAGAAACTAGACACCTCTGTATTGAGTTATTCTTTTGAGAATTATATACAACATATGCCCCTATTAGATCCTTTTGATATATGCCTTGATACTCTAATACTCTGATAGGATCAGTTACCACTGTCATGAAATATGATGGTTGCTATGTATTTATTGTCATGAATGTCCAAATATTTCATAATAAATGGGTATTATCCTATAATGCCATTCGTATTTGATATGAAAAAGAAAACCGGTGATACTAACATCAAGTTAGGAAATATAAGCAAGGGTGAGACTGGAAGAATGGATTTGAGGTCCCTGGAAAACCAAACGTACCAAAACATCACGGCATTTCACGACTGAGAAGAAATTAGGTGATATATGGGTTATCACCTGCCTCGGAAAATAAATTGATAAACAAGAACCCCATTGTGATAAAATGATTAAAAGTGCTGGACTGACCCGAATGTGCGACCAAAAAAGTCGAAGAGGCCAGGCAGTGGTGTCGTTTTAAAAACATGAATAACGGGATTCTAATATGCCACTTACATAACATATGATTAGGGTAAATGTCCCCAATTGCATTACACAATTTAAATTTGTATATCAATATCTTTATAATTTTGTGGCAGGCTGCACCGCACAAAATTATATTATGTATCCATTCTTAATTTGGGCTGATTTTGGTATGGCAGGCTGCACCGTATACCAAACCAGCGCATTACATAATACAACATGTGTGCGTTATTTTCTTAAACTTTTTTTGGCAGGCTGCCCCGCTCAAAATCACGTTGATAAGGTTGAAAACGATATGCTTTTAAGTCGCAAAGGGTATTTTATTGATTAACTATATTGATCTTACAACTTTAAATAATAAGTATTTAACTATGTTTCTGTCTCTCATAAGCCGGATGCCGGCTAGGCTAAATGTTTTGTTTCTAGTATGTATTGTGAATTCTAATTAGCGTGAGGCGTCAATGAATTATAAAACTAAAACTAAACTATTGAAATATCTTAGAAACCAGACTTAATCAATTCTTGGAACTCTGTTTTATGAGTATTAATATTTGAGCAATACAGGAATTTGATCCTGAAATTAAACATTATTTACGATTGTAAACTACACCGGAAATTGGAATTTATGTAATGCTAGGATAACGGAAACGCAATACATATCTAAATCCCACAACTCTATACTTAACTTGGAACTATCTGTATAGGCCTCAAGAGAGATTTACCCAAGCCTGAATTTTACAATATCATGGCATTCACGATTGAATGGTTATGAAGATTAAATGACAAAATGTGTCTTGTAAATGGAACAAGAATGTTGTTCAAGAGATGTTGCGTGTTCAAATCAAATTTTTTAAGTAATTAAAACATTTATCAAATCCATTAGACTGTGGGTGGTATGTTACGCAAAGTAATCTCAAGAGCCTTTGTTAAACAGATTAATTTACGTGGGAGGCAACATATGAAATTAACCTATGGGATCACCTAACTAATCGAAAATTACATAGGCTCTTACAAATTGAATGTCTGTTTAACAGTGCTTACTTTGACATCTCAAAACCTCCCAGCTAGTGAAACATCTTTTTTGCAATATTTCAATTTTTTCTATTATTTCGTTAATCCGAAAGAAACGAATCCAATTAAAAAGTATCCTTTCAAAGGTGAACGCATAGTTTACCATTTTTATAATACCAATGGTGTTGTATGTTCAAATTGTCAAGGAAATCTTTGACTATGCATTTCTAGTCAATCCATTTGAAAGAATGACTTCAAATTCAGAGATGTTGTGTCAAAATCTAGAACGAAATTGTGTCTGTACAAGTACATGTAGTGTCGAATTCATTAGATTTCTCGATGTGAAAGTGTATTCTGCATGTTTTTTTCAACGTTGTTTTGGAATTTCTGCACTGCGTCTTTAAATGATTATCCTAGATTTGTATAGTCTTATTTGTATATGCATTTCTCAAGGTCTTGTGTCATTTGAGACACTTTTGGAGTTTATGTTGCAGAGCCAGTCTTAGGCTTTAACAACATATTGATCTAAAAGTGTATATGGAATAAGGAAGGATGAATCATCCAAGGATGACAAAGTGGGAAGTAATTCTTTTTTCTCCAAGTGATTGCTTTTTAGCTTTTAAAACGTCAACTTCCTCATTAAAAGTGGGTGGTATATGGCATTTAATTCCACTCCCCATTGTCTGTGTAAATATGCCTCAATAATGCAACCCAAGAGAAACAGTGCTAATACCTCTATATTCAAGGCCAATTTCACGCTGTCATATCTGTAGTCCTCGTTTTAAATCCCATACAGACGAATCGGAATGATAAAACTCAAGAGAAACAGTGTCAACGCAAATACCTGTCATATTCAAGACCAAATTCAAGCTGTCCTATCTTTGGAAGTTCTGGTTGTAATTCCATCACAGAAGAATCAGATGCTACACTCTCGCATGATACCGCCCTCTGTAGATTACTTGTAGGTTCGTATTCCACTGTAAAATATGAGATAATATACACAATCATATAAAAAATAATATACATATAATAATAAATAATAACCACATATAAGAAATAATATATACATTTAAAAATACAGACACTTTGTAATAACAAGATAAACCACAGTTGCTTCAAACCTAATTATCAAATTATCAGAACTGCAGAAGAAACACCGTTTCTTTTATTCCCCATGTTAGAAATGAATATCTGGTAGACCGATATCTGCGAATTGGGAATCACTTTGCCATCAATCAAACTGTTGTTCAAGACAACCTGGGTTAAGACGACCATATATGCATATACATATATCATTACGATTATATGGTGTCAGATGTGGGATTGTTGTAGATATAGGAACACATGGGGACAATGATATACTTCCAGACAATATTGGACCCTGGATTCTAGCAGATGTGCAAAACTGATCATTTCTGATCCTCAGGGGTAAATTGCTTCAGTTACTGCAATAGAAATAACAATGAAAATCACCTCTAGAAAAGCAATTATTATACAGCGTTTAAGAGAATATTTTATGTTTTATGTAGGTCGTAAAGAAGCATTACCATGTGCTCCTGGTACCCGAGAGATCAAGCGGGGCAATTTTGCGGAATATATTGATTATTGATAGGAAAATAACACTTGTGTATATGTAGGTAGATACATTTAGTTCCCCTTTGTTCTGAAACAATATAATCATCTTGATTCACAATGTTTCCCCTGTTTCGACCTTATAAGCCCTTATATATCTTGAAAGTCGAAGACGAATATAATCATGTGAATAGATTTAAATATGCTAATACAGCATGGAATCAACAAATAAAAAATCACTTGTTTAATGTTAAAGGTAAGAATGGGCTGATGACACTAATTCTATAGGTATTGATCATTACGAATATCTTATAGGTAAGCCAAATAGAATGAATAGTCCATCAATAAAGTTTTGACCTTGACACATGTAGATTTCCTCACACTAAAACTACACTAAAACCTACCTACAGAACCCACATAAATTATTACATTTGTAGAGATATACACTGAACAGAACTAGCACAATAACAACATTAGAAAACAGACGGATATAAATCATAAAATACTAAAATCATTGGGGAACAGCAAGCTATTATTTTCAATATAGTATATAAGCACCGATGAGTCCGGTTTGTGATAACTTGATGAGCGAGTTATTGAGTTTGTTTCTTCTATTGTCCCTCTATCATTTTGTCTTCTGTACAATTTTCTCGTTTACATGAAATCATTTTTAGAAAATAAAAAAAATTAAATAAGTACTTATTGATTTTACAAAAGGTTAAGGATTAATAATTCTTGTCTCCCCATGTTTCATCATGTTTCCCCTCGTGTCTCGTGCTTTAATATAATGAGTATTTTCGAAATAATGTCGAGTGAGGAAGCCCTTATGCTGAAATTAGATTATACGTGCACTTAGTTCAGAGATTGTCGTGAGAGATCTATTATTACAGTGAGCAATACCGTAGGTAGGTCGACATCCGGGTCTCTTGATTTATTATATCAAACTGTCACATGAAACAAATCGTGTGTTTGTTTAAACTAAACGTTTAACTTAATCACAATGTCACTGCTCGGATATATAAACCAATATCAAAAGATTGTGTCGCATTGAAAGTAAATAGTATGACGAGTTTAAACGAGTATGCAGAGCGTGACAGAACGTGACAAAGCGGGGCACGATGAGGTATTATTTATCCAATCATTCTAAGATGGAATCAACAAAGACTCAGATTAATTTCGGTTATCATCCACCATCGTTATATAGTCTCTTTTTGTCGATGGTGTTCGGCGTCTGTAACCACGTTCGGTGTCTGTAACTGCGGTTGGCATCTGTAGCAAATCACAGGTGGTGACATTTTACATGTTAATGCCTTGTTGATATTGAAAATGATCAAATAAAATAGGTAAATCCATCCATTCATTCAAAATGGCAACCTCAATAGCCAGGTATCGAATCCATTTGTACATGTAGCTAAAAATCATAAATCATCAATCGTATATCCTTTATACAGTGCGGATCAAAAAAACGCAACAGATTGTTATCTTAGAAAAGCACAAAACCAGTGATAACAGCATTGATTTCATTCAATGCACCATAAAGCCAAGTGTCTCCTCTTTACAATGATATATCATTCATTTATATTTGGTCATGGTTGGGCGAGAAATCATTCCATTTGCAAAGTGGGCCAAAATTAGCTTCGGGCCAAGTTATAAACATTGCAAAAGTCAGTGTACGAAGCCCGATGCAATATCGGACGAAACATAAAACCAATGCTGACTGCATCCTTTTAATTCAATGTACCAAAAAGCCAAATTACTCCTCTTTGCAATGGAATATCATTCATTCACAGGGAGTCATCTCTGGCCGAATAATCATTAATTTTGCAAAGTGGGGCAAAATTCAGCTCGGACCCAAGTTTAAAACATTGCAAAAGTCAGTACAAGGGGCATAGGGGCAATTGGAAGGTGTGACAGGTATGGCATAGACAGTAAAGTGTTCATACTCATACTCTTGCAAGAATACGTCCTATACCCCTCCAAATTGGCACCACTTCCTTGCACATAGAGATGCGCTCATCTGTCCACCTCATGCATGGTTCAGCCCTGAATCATGTGTGGGTTAAAGTAAAGAAAAGCAGCCCATGGGCAAATCTTTCTCGAGGTTTTGCAATATCTGGTGGAGGAATTGTGAGCACAGATGCTCCTTAGATAGCTCCAAAAGAAAAAGTCACAACAATTCCAGTCAGGGGAACTTCTATTGGCACTTAGCCCTTGCACTGATTTTTTCAATATCTAAAACTTGGTGCAGAGCCGATTTTGACCCACTGTGCAAATGGAAGGATTTCTCTTCCAACCATGACCACATGTGAATGAATGGCTATCATTGCAAAGAGGAGAGACATAGCTTTATGTTACATTGAATGAAATTGATGTAGTTATCACTAGTTTTGGGATTTTACGATACGCCCTGTACCATTGCGTTTGCCCTCGTTAGCCAAAACGCAATGCAATACTTACATACTTTGAGTGGCATTTCAACAAATTATCACCAGTGAAAAACCTATACTAAAGTCTAAGGTACATGCGTCCCAGATATCACTAAAAAAGAAAATTCTTTCCCAAAAAGGTATAGTATGGTAAGTGATTTAAAACAGTTTGTACCATGGCTATATTCTGAACATAATAATATCATAGTTTTTCATTTAAATAATAAGTTTTTTCTTTGATGTAGTTATGGGGAAATAAAAAAACTCTCCGCAAACCAGTATTTAGGGCCCTACGATATAATATTTGATGCTGAAACTTCAGGATAAAATAGATAAAACTTCAATTGTTATATATACAAAATTTCAGCTGAATTGAAGTATATTAAAGAAAGTTAGAGCATATAGTGCATTACTTCTGGGACAATCCTCGTATATCGTCCCATTTTACAAAATATGGTTGGTAATTTGACATTTGGAGGAAACATTTTATTTTGAAAAGAAATGTCATCTTTATGGTGATAAAATACTCATGATTAAATATATTACTGTCTAAAATCCTTCTCCATACCATGCCTAGTCCTTTGGCTTTCTTATCTCTCAATTATTTGTAAAAACTTCTGTAAATTCAAAATAAATGGCAGTCGTTAAATTCAACCGTCTTGCCCAAAACCCAAGCAGATTAATATTCCAACATATATCATTAGCATCCTTGGTTTTTCCCAATCCATTCAACAGCAAGAAGTAAAAGTACACCATGAAGAATAAAAATGAAAATTTATGTCACTCACACGAGCTACCAGATATTGATCCGGGACTAGGTTGGTCATCAGGCAATGGCTCAACTGGGCTAGGGTCAACTGGACTACTAATATTATATTTTGGAGGTTCGTTTACACTTTGAGCAGGGTCACGTGGGATGTCGTCAGATCCGGTCATCGCCATGTAATGCTTGTCTCTTTGAATCGTATCGTATCGAACGTATTCTCCTGATTTATTGATTAGGAAATCTTGGTCGGAGTCCGCCATGACCTGAAATAAAAATATCAAACCAATTACATCACGAATCTTTCTCAAGCGTTTCAAATCAGATGTACGATGTATGTTGGATTTACATATGTTATAATCCAAACCCACCTGACAAGATATGCATTTTGACATGAATTTCCTTTGAATTTTAAGTAAAAATCTCTTATTTTGTTAATATAATGTAAAAGCAATGTAAGGAATGATTTCCGAGTACAAAAACGCGTCTTGTAAGGGGAAAGTATTATTGACAGTCTAAGTGAGATTACTCTCGAGAGAATGACTTCATTACATGTATGTACTTGCTATATTTGATTGGATAGGCATTTTATTAGTTTTATAATAGGCTCTAATTTATCTAACATTATGTTCCTAAAGTTCCTACCATGTATCCAACGGGTTTTTCATGCTTGGTAAGCACATGGGACTCTTCTCCGCGATCAAACAATTTGGCCTTCCAGATGCTAGGGATATTGACATTCCAGACGCCCATGACTCTGCAGCCGACAATCGACATGGCGACAAGGACTGTACAGAACGCAAGACAGATGGCTACTATTTCCCATGCTGTTAAGACCATATTTTCGATAATATCCTATCTGTTTTTATCGAGACGCTTGCACCACCGGGGACCTCAGTTACATCTAGTTCTCCTGAAAATGGCTATTCCTATACTTTACATATAATTAGTTTATAATGCAGAGTTGCATTGATGCCCGCGGAATTAACTGTTCCCTTCTTCGTCAATAATTTACAGCAATAATGATCGATTTCACTTCATAAGCAGAGTAAATCATGGATATCTATATTTGTCTACCAGAATAACTTTGTACACAATGATAGCCAATTGCGAACATGTATGATTAAATATTCCTTATACACCTTTATCATTCGTGTCCAGTGTCGTTCATTTATGTTGGTAATACAATTATTTACAATTAATGCCTAGTTCATGACTTTAATGCCTAGTTCAAGACTATAATTCTTCTCAAATTGAATTCCATGGCTTAGCAGGAAACATCAACCATGTGTTTCCTGACAAAACACCAATGCATGGGAACAATTACTGCGCAACCACGTGAGTTTGCGCAATTCGCGTTACGTACGAGAAAAATGCGCACATGATGCAGTATACTGACCTTCAGGCTTGAACAGCGTTCGTCATGCTGTTGTCCCCGGGAGTCTTGACACTACATCCGGGAAACATCCTTTATCTATGCTTAGTCTCAAATCTATGAGAGTAATCCTATTACGGTTGATCTCAAAGATCCTATGTATTATTACTATACCGCTTTGATAATTCGATGAAAGGACTGAATTAGAAATCTATATCCGTCAAAAACAGTACATATTTTCTCTTTTATAGCAAAAACAATCGTCATTCGGTGTGTTCGGAATTGTATTGTATTTTGCTTCGTTAGCACAATGATGTTGCAATGTCACGCGATGCTCTGCATTGCTACATATTGATCAGTTCCTCACGCAAGTACCCTTCACAAAAACTCAATTCTGTCAACCCTCTTTAAACCAGAGACAATAATTGTTTTCTGGCCTATAGCTTTACCAGATAATGTGCTTTCTGTCGCATTACATCTAATATACAAACATTGATCAATCCCACGAAATGTACAGTTCAGCTCGTTGAGATAACCATCAGCATCAAGGCTAATAAATCGGTTGATGTAAACAGAGGATAGTTTGGCTAGCCGATGGAGAATAAGGGTATATTTTCTGCTATATCTACAGAGGTAGAATCTAATAACCGAGATTATTACATACTGTAATCTCATCGTGGAACTTTTCAGATTAGTAGCTGTAATCAAGATACTCCGTTTGAGCAAAGTATCAAAATGAATTTTCTATCGCATTACGTATAATTCTTTAATCTAATCCAACATTACCATATCAATTCTGCAATTAAGCTCATCTGTTATCATAATGATTTGTTTTTCTTATATATAATGAAGTTATTTGACCTTGCATATACTGTTCTTTCAATAGATATATATCGTTCTTTTTCTACCAAAATTGAATTATAATCAATAACCGTTTATGCTAGATATATAGAGGTTATTTAATGGGAGGGATGGAATATGGATTTTATTTCGATGGAAAATTATGCTATTGACCAAGGAAAATATCATATTGACCGAGGACGACAGTCCGAGGCCAATATCATATTTTTTCAAGGAACAGATTAACATTCCATTACGACTATCAATAACCTATTTATTCCAAGATATTTTTCTGAAACTTGTTTTGTATCTCGTCACCCAATGATGGTGACATGATATCAATATTTCCCGAGGGAACGCAGTGTGAGACTCACAATCCTTGATTTCCAAACACCTATTAGGTAACGGTCGTATTAAGCACCACGTGATAAGGTCACCACCACGAACATCATCAAATTGATAACTGAGCTCAGCCGTTATATGCAATGGTACAATGGGGTTTTGGTGATCCAAGAGAGCCCAGATTCGAGGTATTTCGAGATCTCTCCTATCAGCTTATATTTCATCTATTGAGGGGTTGGTAGGTGGGTTAACTACATTTTGACTTCACTTTATGATGCAAATGTCCACTTTGGCATGGGAGTACCTTAGGGCAATAAAAACCATTTCATCCAAAGACACAAGCTAGATCGTGATTTACATTGGAAATATACGCATTTTCCAAAATGGCCGCCACAACATATCAGAGACAATATCTTTGCATGCATGCATATAAGATTGCTGTCAAAAATACATTGATGGGGTTGTAGAATCCTTTTAATTAGATTTCGAGTCTTGAAAATTAAGAACTTCCACTTTATATTCAAAATATACACATTTTTCAAAATGGCTGCCAGAAATATAACAAAGTTATAAAATGACTAAAATAATGGCTAAGACAGAAATCCCAATTTCAGAAAATTGTATTTTTGAAGATTTTTTGATGATTTAAACCGAGAGCATGCCTGGACGGAAAACGTGATATTTCTAAACCTAAACGATGTTAATGCTTTCCAAGTACAACTATTTTTGATCAGTTCAACAGTCTATTTACACAACAATCTAGATTTCTTAATCATTGAGAAATTTATTCCAAAATTAATAGGTGGAATTTTTTGTGTCACTCTGGATGTTTGCTAACAAAGATTGTATCTTTGCTTCTGATCATAATATAATAATAAATTGGGCTTCAAAATCTACATTTCTAGGATTGTAGAATCCATTTAATTGGATTTTGAATCTTAGAAATAAGCTTTGACACCTTAATATGACAGTATATAATGTGTATTTATCTTTCAATGTTCTTTTTGACTCAGATACTCGTCATCCAAGAGAAGTAGTATACGGCGGGCCTTTCGACCTGCAACCTGCACCTGCACATGCCACTACCACCGGAAGTGACGTCATAGGTCACGTGCACCGGAAGTGACGTCATAGATCACGTGGTAAGATGATGCACCGGAAGTGGAAGTGACGTCATAGGTCACATGGTTACTGATATAACTGGTCAAAGGTTTCTGATAATTGATAAGAGAGAGATAATAAACTGATAAGACAGTGAAAAAGATGACTACCATGGTTTCTGATATAACTGGTCAAAGGTTACTGATAATTGATAAGAGAGAGCTTAATTGATAAGATAATCAAACAAACACTGTTAAGGTAACCTGGTGACTATGTGATAAGTTATCTTGTCTACTTCATGGATGTTTCATTGTTATAGGTCAAAGGTTGATAACAAACTGATAAATCAGTAAAAAAGATAACTGCAGAACCATTTCAACCAAACAGGTTTTAACTTGCAGAATTATTAGGTGATGGGCTAGCTCTTAAATTGCGGTATGGAGGTAGAATTTTGGAGACCATGCTAGTTACATCCTAATTTGTAATTCTCACCACAATTTGGCAATAATTAAGCAACATTTTACAGCGTTTAGGAAAAAATCAATATTTATACCCCCCACATGACAAAAGTAGGGGGTACATAGAAAATAATTAATAACTTTACAAAAACATTATGAATAACCACATTTTTTTCAGAATATATGCACATATATGTCATTAATAACTGGTAAAAAATTGGTGACTATAGGTATGATGGTTGCTATGGAAACAGAATGTGATTGTCAAAATTTGCTAATTTGTGTCTATTTTGGGGGGCTCGTTAACGAAAAAATGCTATGTAAGCAAGTTATGCTGCAAAAATAGCATTGATTTAAGGTTTAGAAAATTGCATATATATGTCCTGCATGCATTAAAATTGGAATGATGATTGAGTCTCAATCAGAAATATTAAAAAAAAAATTTCTATGACCCACCCCCTCTAAATAATCCAAAGTGGGCGTGGCATTTAAGTGAATGATCAAGCCTACTTAACAGTAGATAACTTCAATTGTATAGCCTGTATTATCACAATTTCAACAGAATGTAGGATTCTGGTATCAGTTATGGCCTAGTCACATAGCCCGGCCGATGAGGTTACGATGAGCCAGCGATGCAATTTTCACCGAACTCAGCCGGACATCCGTGGCGTTTGTTGCTTAAAACCGCATCGGTGGTAGCTCGGTGAAATTTTAACTTCAGAGTTAAATTTCACCTGGCTCTCACCGAGCTCCCTCATCATGTCATCGCAGCCCCATCGTAACCACATCGGAAAACACGTCGGCTGGAGTATCTGCCGGTGTCCCGTGCATCTGAGACAACCAGAGGACGAGGTTTTTTAACGGACAGCGGCCGAGCTCCGGCCGATGTGGGACAGAGCATCGGCCGGTCACTGTTCAAAGCCCGTTAACAACCCGGCTGGCGATCGCACGGTGTCCTGTTACCTGCTCGGGTACCGGCCGTATTTCTTCCGATGTCCGGCCGACCTCCGGCCGGTAGTTGCTGCCACATCGGCAGAAAAAAACTACCATTTTGAGACAGACTCCGTACGGTCACCGGCCGGTGTTCGGTCGGTCGCCTGAAGATGTCCGGACGGAGTCCGTTCACGTCACCGAGCTCTGCTTCCGATGAGGAGAGCTCGGTGGCACCAAAAAAATCCACCGAGCTCTACCGATGCCGGACATCGGCCGGGCTATGTGACTAGGCCATTAACAGTTTATATGATTTTGTTCATCCCCCTCAATATTTATAACCCCTCCTTCGTCACCACCACCCCTCCCGCGTGACAAAAGTAGGGGATACCTTGAAAATGATTAATAACTTTACAACAATGCAGCGAATAACCATCAATTTTTCAGACAGGATAAATGTATATGTCATCAGTAATTGAAAAAATTCTTGGTAATTATAGGTATGATAGTTTCTAAACAGGATTTGATCGTCACAACTTGTGAAGATATTGGGAGGGGGGGTTGGTTCACAAAGAATACTATCCTAGCGAATTCTGCTGCAAAATTAGCATTGTTTTAAGGTTTAGAAAACTGCATATGTATGTCCTGCATGCATTAAAATGAAATGATGATTGGGTTTCAATTAGATTTTTTAGATTTCATTATGACCCATCCTTCTTTATAATCCAAAGTGAGTGTGACATTTAACTGTATGATCAAACCTACTTAATAGTTCAACATTTCTACACAATGTAGGCATCAGTTAACTTTTTATCATTTTGTTCATCCCCAAATATTTATGCCACTCCCCTCGTCTTAACATACTAAAAATTACACATGTATATGTCATAAGTAACTGGAAAAAGATTATGGTGATTATAGGTTTGATGGTTGCTATGGAAAAAGGATTCGATTGTCAAACAAAGGACCGCATGTTGTTTGTAGAATGAATCGGGTTAAAAACATCAATACACTTTAAACCATTTTATTGACTATAAAACTGCACCATATAATCCCCAAAAGATATTTCTCTTTTCAAGGATTATCTATGGATTAACACCCAGGTTTTTTATTTTTCAAACTTCAGAGGGGTAGGAATCATTGATTATGATCATATAAATGCTGTTTTAAAATAGGTTTAATGTATGCCAATAATTTCTCAAATCGTGTAAATGGTACCCATTCCTTATTCCCTACAATTTTCTCTTTGAGGAATTCCCATAGCAATCCTATGGTATAGTTCCAAGCAGATTTTGAGATAACAGGAAAGTTAATCATTTATACACACCTCATTGGGTTGTGATATAAACCAAAATAATACATCTCTTCATCACTTCTGATCATCAGAACCATGCCTGCTACAATATAATGTATCTTCTGACATTGCTTAGCGTAGATACAATATTTCTTGGTGTCAAATCTTAGCTAGATGATGGGGGGATGTACCATAAAAGGAGGTCACGGGGTAGGTACAATGCTGTCAAAATCAAAACCTCAACAATACAACCAACAATCAACAGGCACGCAAAGTTCCTTATTGGTATTAAAAAGATTCAGTCACAAACATGTTGTTTATGATGATCAATGATGAAGATAACAGTTAACGTCCATTTGACAGCTTCACAGGCAACAGTACCGTAAAATTACATACAGTTGTGTATCTCCAACAGTATGTTATGGTACTGTTTGGGCTATGGTACTGTATGGTATGGTAATATATGGTACCAGACTAAAATAGTATTGTACAGTACCATGGACACTGTACACCACCATAATAGAATGGCACTGTACGGTACTATTAATGTACCATGAGTGCAGATTGGTGG